CAACTCAGATACGGATGTAGGCATAGACAGGGATCCATCTGTAACTCAAGGATCCCAGACAAACTGTCCATATGTGAAAGATGTAGAACATGCCTCCGTAACAAAAGGCAGTACAGCGCCTGAACTACATGAATACATGGACATGACAACTGTTTATGAAGAGCCTTCTGCAGGTAAAGACGATTATCCTGACTGTAATCGTGATTCAACAATCTCAACACATCAAGCTAGAGTTCCGACAAATGCTAAAATGGCAGTAACTGCCATCCCACTTGGTGATGACAAACACAAAGTGGCAAGGTCATCGTCAGATACGGAATACGATATTATTCCTGATTACACCAACATCACAACTGCTTAAGACTTGGTCAGATATCACGCGGTAAACCGATGCAAAAATTAAATAGCCGCAGATTTTTCACGTTTTAAAGAATCACATAGTTCAGAGTGCAGATATGTTAAGGGTATTGCACTTTACGTCTTTATTAAACAAGAAAAAAGGTCGCGATTTTGTCATGTCATATCTGAACATGCCTTTAAAAAGAAAGCCACATACACGATGGAATTTTGTTGATATTTGACTTTCTTTTAGATACCAAAAATTAAGAAGTTTTAAAAATGAATCCTTCCAAACCCGAATACTGGACAGGCGTTAATAAATGAGAAGATATTTAAATGGACGTGGATCATTAATAGGTCCACATAGAAATTAAGGAACTTTAGAAGACTATTCATTGAGGAAAGACAAGGATAGATGTATTCTGAAAAAAAAGATGTATAATTATCACCAGCTGCTCTGCGAGGTAATGGTCGGAAATGGAGTGGTCCACTTCGACACGACATATATATGTATTATTTTCACTATAAATCGATTTTTGAAAAATGTTTTTCAATCCCTGTCCTACAATCAATTTATTATTTTGGCATATAAACAAAATAAACAATGCATGGAAACATATTACACTATGTAATCTAGGTGCTCAAACGGATGAAGGTGTAATTTTTGGTCAAACTATTTGGTATACCCATTATCCCCAAATAAATGAAAAGGGTAGTATGTGTGTGTGTGTTTTTTGTGTTTGGAGGATGCATTTGTGTGTGTGCGCACGTGTGTGTGAGATTTCAAGCCTGGCACTGATTGTTAACGTATATAAGCTCACCTTCGTTAAATCATTCAAGAAGGTATTATATGGATACCGTTGGGATAATGTTGTTGCTTGAGCTAAAGATATAACCGTTATCAATGCGCACCAAACAATTCATGCCTGATTTTCGTATAAGCCTACCTTAAACAAATCTGTAATAAATTAATGAATCATAAATATATTGTATAGCTTCAATTCGTATATGTATGAGGGGCTGAAGACATTCAAGTGCTTAGTTCGAGAGATCACCTGGAAAAGTGATACTCGAACAAAATTGTTTTATTGCTTTCCATTATATTATATTCAATATTAGTCCAAAACTGCAGCCTTGCAAAGTGTACCCATAGAAAGCAAGAATAGACTCCATCACAACAAATCGCCACACAGCAACAGAGAATATTTGTCTTTATTTAGTTGATTGCCACTGTTTTTCTTACCTTATCTATGTTACTTTTGTATTTTTGCTTTTTCTTCTAATTTAATTCTACGGGTTATAGTCTTCTCTTAATCAGAACACTGTGCGCTTAGAAACATCAGTATTAAGCGCCTAATAAATGTTATGTATTATTATTATTATTAATTAATCATTCCATAAAATATTATCAACATAGTTCATTTTACTTTGATAAACTACAACGAGATAAAGTAACTATCTATCTTGATCTGTACACAGTAAAAACGCTGCTTAAAAAAGTGATGTTCACTTACAGTTGTACACTATCTTAAACAACAGTTGAACAAATTGTAAACAATGTTGCTCGAAACGAAAGTAATTTTGTTAAACATTCGCTTTTTAAAAATTTAATGACTGCTTTATTTACTATACGAGAGCTTTTAGACAGTGTTGTTTACATATGACGTCATGTGTCACGTGCCAGTAAAGTGCGCGTTGGCTAAAAGATTTGTTTCAAATCATGGCCAACCAAGCTGTAGACGTGTCGTGGATGAGTGGAAACGTCGCCGGACTGTCGATCACAAGGTCCACGGTTCGAGTCCCGCCGCGGAACTAATGTCCTATGGCAGCCTAGCATAGCCGGGTAATGTTGGAGCGCCTTGAGGACCTTGCAAGGTCGATACGTGCGCTATATAAGAATCCAATATTATTATTATTATTTAACAACAGCTCCTTTTTAAACAACTTTCTTTAAACAACCCAGTTGGTGTAAACAACCCCCACTGAACAACAGCTCCGTTTTAAACAACCGTCTTTAAACAACACCAGTTGTTTAAATTGTGATTTTAAACAAGTTGTTCAAAATGTTGATCAACTAAGTGTTTAAACTTTAAACAACTCGAGTTGCTTAACATTTTAAACAACTCTTAGATCAGGTCACCCGTTAATCAACAGTTGTTTAAACTTTTAAACAACATGTTCACTAAATTTTTAACTGTATAACCGATGAATAATTTATACTATATGAATAAAAACACGATACCACACTCATAAATACGACTGATTTTTATAATTATTGGAGTACGAAAGGTTTCAATATTTTGCTAAATCATTTTTTATTATGCTAATATAATACATTGTTCTTTTCACACTCGAATAAACCACAGCAATACATGGGGAGAGGGGGAGATCCATGAATATAAAGACATGAAAACGGATTACAAAACGTCTCAACAAAGAAGACTTAGACATCGATGGATATTTCATTCCAAACACGAACATTTCTTCAAATAATGCCTTAATGGGAAGTCGGTTACGGATAAGAGGAACTGTTTTGGCAAAATGAACATGCAAAAGCCTTCTGATGAACGGATTCTTTGTCTCAAGACATAAAAGAAAAAAATAAACATGATTATATGGAAATGGAAACGGTTTACCAAAGGCCGAAATTGGGGACGGATATGAATCACAAGACCTTCGTCAAATGATGGTGATACAATAACATGTGCAATAACACGTTATAAAACAAATCGAAAATGGACATCGGTTGTATTGGAGGGGAAGGAAAATCCCCTCACAGCAAGACTCGACACAGAAAGAGATGGTACATGGGTATGAAAACGGTTCACCAAAAGTTCGCAATAGGAATCGACACAGATCTTGATCGCTATCTTATTCCAAATGCTATGCTGGAGACTGGATCTATCCGAAACAGTTGCAGAGCAGAAGCAGATAGACAGTCTGGTGAAAACAAGGAATTTAATTGTTGATATTTGTTTTACGGTACGAAATGAGGAAGGAATGGTGACGCATGGTAAGAGTGATGTACTAGCAACTTGCAGAGTTGATTGGCGTCCTGCAGGATACATATAATAGACAACATCAAGAATTGGGAGGGTGGAATGAGAGTAGCGAGGGTGAATGCCTCAGAGAGGCTGTGGCATAACATGAACCTTATCTACTCTCAATGCATACATTACATTTTTGTGAAAAGAAATGCTGCAAACAAGGGAGGGTGTAGGTAAGATTGTATGTGTGTGTGTCGTTCCGAGTGGGTGCGTGTGTGTGCATGCGTGTGTGTGCGTGAGGCTCTTTTTTGAAAAACTGTTCATCCAATGTATTACATGTTATAGTGTTAAAGATGAGTAATAACTTCCAACAGTATATGATTATGTTATGATTCTGTGGTAATTAGTACCGGAACGTATATATGCTTTCTTATGCATTTGTAAAAGTTTGAAAACGAAATGTATAAATGAAAAGGTGCTATTCGTTAGATGTTAAATGTTATACATACTATCATTCTGTTGTTATTTTTTGTGAATTGAACGAACAATATAATATCTATTAACAAAATCTATTCATTTTTGTGAAAATTAAAATGAACGGAGTTACATTAATTTCTTATATTTTAATGTTGAATAGGAATATATTAGACACATTTAACCTATAAGCGTGAACAAAATATAGGACACATTGTGAGTACCATGGGTTAAAGCTTATCTGCCATAGTTTACAGGAGGGATTAGACTGCCCTGCAAGGTCACTGGACAGGTGGTTATCTCATCAACTCAGCTCTCAGTTAACATAAGAAAAAGAGGATCATGGGGGACCAATGATCACCGATTAGGCATTGTTTGTTGTAAGAGGGCGCAAGTAGCTACAAGTAGTGCAGTGGGCCTTTAACTATTTTTTTCGAAAGATATTTTTTTTACTCGCGACGTATGTCAACTTACTAAAAACGTATTTGATCGCCGCAGCTTTAAAACATTAAAACCTTTTTCATTTGTCAAATTTTCTTTGGAATTTGTGGATCTATATTTGCCTTTTTTCTGCCTTTCATTAAACCACGTGTTAGAAAGGTTTCGTTCGTTTTTTATTTCGCTTTTCGCAATAAACGACACAATGTGGTAATATACTCTTCAATGCCTTTGTCCAAACTAAGTAAATATCTGCTTCCCACTAATATTCACCAACGGACAAAACAGTGGCATAAAACATTGCTGTTTATTTAGCCGTATAATTTGAAAAAGTCGTGAACAACTTTCTAACTGGACGGAAAGGGGTTATCCTTGCTATAGCTTTATAACATTTTTTTAAAAAGAATCGACCAATATTTTCAAAACCTTTGTAGTATAGCAAGGAAATCTGCTTTTCCATATTCTTTCCTGTCTGATTCTTGGAGAAATTTCGGCTAGCGGTCCGGCGATTTGGGGAAAATGAACCCGTCCCCAAGGAAATTGTTCTAGATTGACATTTTCAAGGATATACTATGGCATACGATACCATACCACCAATTCAGTGACGGATGAAGAATATCACTTGTCAAAAATCAATCCACTCTTTATTTTAAAAGAGGGAGAACCAGAGCTGTTTCTGGTTTCAGAGACATATTCTAACGCTTTATATAACCAAATTAACTATTCTTGATATAAAATGGGTGGCGGAGAAGAAATAGCACCATGTACACTTTTCAACCAGAAGTACGTCTCGCAAATGGCTCCAACCATGCTAAAGGAAGAGTGGAGTTCTTGTATAGTGAATCTTGGCGAACTGTCTGTGGTGCCTCGTGGGATCTAAGAGATGTAAGAGTGGTTTGCAGAATACTGGGGTTCGACGGTGCCCTGGCTGCGACACGATCAGCAAGGTTTGGTCAGGGTGCTGGTGATGTTCTTCGTGTCGATTGCTGGGGAACAGAAGACAGCCTGGCCGACTGTCCATACTTTGGGGCCAGCATTCCGTGTGGACATCACATGGACGCAGGTGCCGTATGTTATTTAGGAGGTATGGACTTAAGGCTTTATTTAGTAAACGATTGTAAAGTTTGGAACGCGCATGTTTTCAGAATTGTATTAATTTTTGTTAAAACTTTAATTACGCTCATAAAATATTTCCGAAAATCTCCCCCTTCAATAAATAAATGAATACATGAAATGAAACGTAGAAATATCCCTATTGAGATTGACTAATTTCTATTTTTGTGTATGCCATTCCTAATTCAAGACAAATATGTAGTCGAATCATGTAAACAAAAACATGAACTGATGTTCGGTTTAACATATTTTTATTATTAAAGCCCATCCGAACCCATTCCAAGTTCGGCTTGTCAATGGATCGGACAGTGCTAAAGGCAGGGTAGAGGTCTTGCGGGACGGATCATGGGGAACTGTTTGTGGTGTTGGCTGGGATCTGAGAGACGCGAGGGTAGTCTGCAGGATGCTGGGGTTTGATGGAGCATTGGACGCACCGGGGTCTGCAAGGTTTGGTCAGGGCTCTGTTCGTATTCTTCTAGATAGGGTCAACTGTGACGGAACAGAAGACAACCTTGCAGAATGTGGTTATTCCGGGAATGCACGTTACTCATGGAGTCATACAAGTGATGCAGGTGCCATGTGTTACTCAGGAGGTATGATTTCTAGACATTATAACCTAGTAGTACACCTATCCGTTAACGATTTTCATTGAGAACGAACATCAGAATAGTTTTTCATAAGTGACTTTAAAAATCTCCCTTTTTGCCTCTTAATGAATCTATTTATAACTAAAGAAACAATTTTGTTAAGGGGCTGAATCTTTCACAAAATAGATAGTTATTATCATTGTACAAGTTGTTTTCATTCGGTCGATTTATGAGAAGGCAGGTATTGTAATGGATTGTACATAATAATCATATTAGAATAAGATGTTTCCCTACTTCTATACATCATTGGATTAAGGCAAAATGGTGTTTTATTGAAACTGCCATCATACTTTTTCATCTAACGTGTGTTGAAATTTGTGATGATATCATCTATAAAACAACCCAGTTATTAAGTTCTTACTCTCTTGTAGTCCATCCAGACCCATTTAAAGTACGTCTTGTCGGTGGGTCTAACGATGCTGTAGGCAGAGTAGAACTCATGCATGGTGGATCTTGGGGAACTATATGTGACGACAGCTGGGATCTGAGAGACGCGAGGGTGGTTTGTAGAATGCTGGGGTTTGGTGGAGCCTTGGACGCACCGGGATCTGCTAGGTTTGGTCAGGGCTCTGGTCGTATTATTCTAGATGTCGTCGGATGTGACGGAACAGAAGTAAACGTAGCAGAATGTATTCATCGAGGGATTGGAGTACATTACTGTGGACATGATGAAGATGCGGGCGCTATTTGTTACAATGGAGGTATGTTTAACCGTCACATGCAGTCCTGATATGTCATTATATTAAGAGTGTACTTTTTATCCATTAATGTCAGTCGTGAATTCTATTGATTCCACCATTTTGCTTCTTGCTTATTCAATGGAGAGACCAATACTTTAGCTTAAGAATCATATTAAAACCATCCAAAACTTTTCTACTACAATAACTTCACATATAACGTATACACAACTGCCTTGTGCCATCTATTTCCTTTTGTGTGCTATTTCAAATTTCATTGGTTTTGATTGCATTATCAATTATTGACTTCATTTGCCGCAGCCCATCCAAATCCTCTCGGAATAAGGCTCGTCGATGGATCCAGCAAAGCTGAAGGAAGAGTGGAGGTCTTCTACGATGGGTCCTGGGGAACTATCTGTGATAATGGCTGGGATCTCAGAGACGCGAGGGTCGTCTGCAGAATGCTGGGGTTTGAGGGAGCCTTGGACGCACCGACATCTGCAAGGTTCGGTCAGGGATCTGGGGATATACTTCTCAATCTTGTTGGTTGTGACGGAACGGAGGGAAATCTTGCGGACTGTGCACATCTTGGGTTAGGTGTCAATTACTGCAGACATGAAGAGGATGTTGGTGCCATCTGTTACTCGGGAGGTATGTGTCAATACTTTCAGTAAAATGATATTGTGGGCACACCTTTTTATGATATAGTCAGGCGCCAGAGTGGTTTCCTAATGACCCTGTAAAGATTGTTATTTGGGTGTTTTAAGGCGTCCCCCTGTCATGCCAATTGTGGCTGTTTCACTGACATTCGCGCCGGATTTACGCCGTTAACACAAGGTGAAGAAGGTGCAATGAACGAGTAGTTACAATAAAAAAGGCACTAATGGTGTGATGGTTCTTTATCTTGAAATATGTATGTTACAGTTTAATTGGTATGATGGACACTTTCACTAAACGTCGATACATCTCCCCCGATTAGGTAAAGGCTAGTAGGGATATCTTTGATAGGAGGTTAAACAGATATATAGTAGATGATACGATAATCACAAAACTCTCCAACTCCAATAAAATATCGATATAATTTAAATGCATACCCAAATGATTATATGAACAACTGAACGAGATAGGATAGGGAATGACAAGTGTGGGTATACTAAAATAAATAAATTCCATTTTCGTTTTAGCCCATCCAAACTCTGTTGGAGTACGGCTCATGGGTGGATCCAACAGTACTGAAGGCAGAGTGGAGATCAGATACAACGGCACCTGGGGAACAGTTTGCGACGATGGCTAGGATGTGCAAGATGCAAATGTCGTATGCAGAATGCTAGGATTCGGCAACGCCTCGACTGCACCAGGTTCAGCCCAGTTTGGCGAGGGGTACGAAGAAATTCTCCTGTCTCATGTCGGGTGCGATGGAACGGAAGACAATTTTGCAGACTGCGCACATCTAGGGTTTGGAGTGCACAACTGCCAACATAACGAAGACGCTGGGGTCACGTGTCTCATAGGAGGTACAATATTAACATTTTACGCACATTGCATCCAGTCATCATTTTTCATTTAATCTTTCAAAGTGACCTAACTAATTTTGACACGTTTGGAATCCAATTATAAATGAATTGCTTTCAAGGAAAAAGGTAATAAATTATTTACGAAATTCATTATAAAGATGACTATTCGTATACAGGGCAACGGAATCGTGTGCAGTATATTAAGCAGTTACGATTCAAGCTGGAATCAGCGCAAAGACGAGAAATAAAGGATTTAATTACTTTAAAAAGTTACTAAATTTCTCTTAACTTCATTCAAAACTTTATACACACCTTCGTTTTCATATCTTTATAATAATAATTATCATAGCCCATGATTTTATCTTTTTTTCCCGTATATATTTTGAAAATGTGAAATGTCTTAATGTGAATTGTTTATTAATGATATTTATCTTATGTTCCACTTTTGTCATAGTTATGACTGCCTATTCCCATTTAGTCGTACCTGATGTTACGACACCTACAACTGACGATCCGATGACAGCTGCTGACGACATTACAGTAGTATCGTCAAGTACGCAGAACATTTCCCGCAATCAGGAAATCCCGACTAATATTGAAGATCTGAACTTGAATACAAGACCTAGTCTGTTGTCAGATCTTCCAAAGATATTTCTACTTGGGCTTTGCGTTTTATTGTTTACCATCATTCTGATATTGTCCTGCTGGTAATGTCTTCATAGAATAAGAAAAAGAAGGGCTGCGAAAAATGTAAACGCCGATATTTATATGGAAGTAACGAATATTGGCACGATGCAAGCTATTTCAATAAACTCCGTTTATCAAGACCTGAACGCCCCACCTCGGTTACCGGATAGACGAAAATCCGGTATGCTTCATCATGATTATGAATCAAATATAGCAACTGATGATGACGTGAAAGCAGATCTGAATCTCTCGCAATACATCACAAAAGGAGAACCACATAAATACATGGACATGAATACCGTTTATGAAACACCTGGCAATGAAAAAGACTTTGATCTCGATGGATATATCCTTCCGACCAGGGATGCATTATCGGATGATAGAGTGACAGCAACGGCTGATCAATTTCGTGACGATAAATCGTATAATCATGAGTATACCGACATGAAAACTGTCTACCAAACGCCCTCAGCGGGGAAAGATGTGGACCTTGATGGATATCTTCTCCCGTGAGAGGACAACTCCGACACAGACTCGAGCGAAAACGATGGAAAAACACTAACCAGTGTGCAAATAAATAAAACTGCACCTCAAAAAACTCCTGAAGTTTCTAAGAGTTTAAATAAAAGACTGGAGGCTGCTGTGAAACAAAAAACATAACACGGGCTTATTACCATAAATATATGGACATGACAAGTGTGGGTAAAATATACAAAAAATAAACGATACAATTAGACACTTATGAGAAGTGGTTCAGTTGTTGATAATGCACTTATCCGTCATTCGTAAGGATGTACACAAGTGTGCTGAAATAAAAGATGATCGAATGAGAGCCGTATTTTAGTGGTAACAAATCACCACGGTCGTAAAGGATTCTTTCGCTTCAGAACGATGGAAAACTGAAAGTGATGTCAAATTTAATTATTAATGGCGACCATAAGTTCTGCAAGTAAATTAAAATCCTCTTTAGTTTCATACGATCTCAGTTCAATGACAATTAATGCCTATTCTATTACCATTCACACGCAACTGTTTTTCTAAATCACTTTTTTAATTCAATGGACATGTCCAATGATCAAACTTATCTTCAAACCACCGATGTAAACAACTCGTAGATTAGACACTGTCAGACATATATAGGTTTTCTTTTCTCCATTGTGTATTATTATTCAAGACAAAATGTATGACAGTAATACAGACTTTCATGTAAATGTCAGGTTAAACGACAATAATACGTTGTCAGTGTTGAAATAATGAATAAAACAATAAGGATTTGGGTAAAAAAATGAAAGTATCATATATTTTCTGTAATATTACCTCTTTGTGATACACGAATAAACATTTCTGTAAGATTGTAATTAAAACTGACGAGTGTAAATGCTTAACCAAATAACAGCAAAATGTTCGGCATAGCAGGGACTGTACAATAAGGGAACAAAAATGTACAAAATGAAATCGTATCAATCATATTGCGTTCCTTCTTTGGTTATAGACGTGTCATATCAAACTACTTAGATATTGACTGAAATCGATTTCCTCGATCACTATCATCACTTTAGATTTGGCTTAATTCGTTATGTAATAGAGAAGAATAGAGATTATTCATAATCATATGTAAGTCCCTTCTATTCATCCAAATAATCTATTTTCACAATATGTATTTTTCCTAACGATAATAAAAGGAATAACAAGTCAGGCTTAACATCGCAGCTAAATATACCTATCTTGCTTCCAAAATAACAGTTCTGGCTCCTCAGCAGTATGTTTCTTCCTTTTGTTTGTTGTATTCGTTAGTGAGTATTTTTTGGCTATAAAGGTCAATATATTGTTATAATGTGCACGACTTTGCAAATTATAACAACCTTTTTAACACGGTATAACGCATAGAAAAGAGGATTATGCGCACCTCTCTTCCTTGCATATTATACTCCATTGTTTGAGCAGCGCGCATGGCTCGACTCCAAGGGAGCAAGGCAAGAGGTCGCAAATACCCTCAATTTAATATTTCAAATACTGCATGCATTCACTATAACATATAATCACTTCAAAATAAGAATGTGCCTCGAGCCATTATATCTTAACCTCAGCCTGCTGCCTAGGTGAAATAAAGCCTCACTCTGGAAGTTGTCGGTTCACATATTTTGTTGTACTTGATCGCCGGAGCATGGGATATTTCTATATGTGCACGAGCGTGCTACGTAACCACGTTTCGGGCACTGTATAACGTGTGCTAAAGTTAGTTAGACTGTGCATCTCTCAGCCCTGCGAGAACCCATTATTTGCAATAGGAAGTTTTCGCAAACTCAATGCGGACGGAGAATCTACGATTCGTGTGCATAATCGAGAAGCTACTATAGTGCCAGCGGGGTGAACGATGAGGTACTGAAATCCAGAACGGGTTTTGGCCAAATCTACGGGCGTTCTCAATGACGCCCCAAGTGAATCAAGTGCCTCGATACAAACAACAGAACTGTATTACATTCACCTGATAAGAATAATATTATTTAAATAGACATAATAAAATCTGCATACATTAGTTGTTGCCACACTTAATACATGCAGTTTGCATTAGTGACTTTTGTGAATACTAGACAGGTGAGTGAAACAATTTGTATTGAGGAACTTCACAACGACTGTATTAAATTCGATTACATTACGAAAATGGCCTATTCCCTGCCACGCAATACAGTAAGGACGGGACTACATGACATGCACAGCTTGTATTGTCTCGACCAAGCCACGAAATGGCTTTTCATCAAATTTTAACAATTTATCATCAAGTTTAAAACAATTCATGTTATATCCATATTTATGTTGTTATAGTTGAGAAACAATAATCGGAGGAAATAAAAAAAAATACTCACCGAAGAGCCGCTTACGTCAGGGGCGGATCTAGGGGGGTGGGGGTGGGGGGTTAGGGGTTTAAATCCCCCTTGGGCTGCCCCCCCCCCCCAAAAAAAAAAAAAAAAAAAAAACAAAAAACAACAACAACATTGGTTTGCACTTTTTAAATGGAAAAAAAATATAGCTCACTGCTCCAAAGCCCTCCCCCCCCCCGTAGCACAAAGCTAGATCCACCCTATTCCAGAATCACGCTTAATTCAAGCCGTCGAAGATGGCGTTATCAACAAACTCATAATTATGCTCACTATCCCAGCCTGAGAACCATTGAGAACGCCCGTAGATTTGGCCAAAAAACGTTCTTGATTTCAGTACCTCAGCAGTCGACCCGCTGTTACTATAGTAGCTTCTTGATTTTGCACACGAACCGCAGATTCTCCGTCCGCAATAAGCTTGCGTAATACCCCTAATGTTTGTCGAACGGGCAACAACTAATGTTTGCAGTTTGGATCTGTCTATTGAAATACTATTATTCTTATCAGGTGAATGAAATAGTTTGTATCGAGGCACTTCACAAAGACGTATGCATTAAATTTGGTTACATTACGAGAATTGCCTATTGGCACTGCAAATGCAATATCTCCGTACTATACGTACGCGAACCCCGAAAAGCGAAACCGCGTATTGTAACGAGGGCGGTCTGTGTGCGACGGCCGTAACCCTCAGTGCTCTATGTCGGAGAAGGTCTGTCCGTTGCTGAGCTAAAACTCGCTAATGTCTTAGTATGGCGCATGTAATCGGGAGGGCTTTATTCCAAAGGATTACAAATGTACCCTGAATCATATTTAACATACATAGCATATAATTCGTTGTTCCCTCTAACATATATTTACCTCCAAAATTCAGATTTTACCTCGTGTCATGATATTTCAGCTTAAAATATACTTATGAAATACATGGTTCATTTATTGTCTTATATTGAACAACGAAATATACACTTTTTGTATACTAATTATATACACATTAGAGGATAGATTGTGCAGATGAGAAATACATTTTGCAATATCCAACTTGACGCTACCATATTTTGTTGTAATAAAAAAAGGGAATTCAGGCAGGAAAAGCTGCGAGTTAACTTGAGAGAAATGGAAAGAGCGTGAGCGGAGAAAGAGAAAGGAGGAGGAAGTGAGACCACTTTACAAACAATTGGGTATTGACTTGTAAGCTAGACATTGCATTTCAGGACGGTCCCGCACTCCGTAGGCCTATATATAGTATATTTAATGGAATATGATGCCTTTAATGTACACCAAGTTAGGAAATTCGCCATCATAGGCCATTGATATAAATTCACATTCGTTCAAAAGCAAAAGTACAGATGAGATGAGAATAAACTACAGTTTCTGCTGCACTTCCTGTGCTATAACACAACTCGCGTCGGTTTATGACTTGCGTGACAACCCATCTGAAACTCGTATACGTCGATGCGATGAATTCCTTTCGTTCAGGCTGATGCGTTTTTCCGAGACGTGCTTTCCTGGAGGTTACCGACAACTAGTACAGAAGTTACAATATCGTCCTTCTTCTTTTTAACCAAACATATAATTTCTCGACATAAAAGAACCTTTGAGGCACAGCTCGTGGCTGATCCCAGCCGTTTCTCACAAGAACAGGTTCCAAGAGGCGGCAGGAAAAGGGTAAACTGCACTGAACACTCCCCCAAAACTCACGCCGCTATTATATGCTAATATGTATATTACATACACAAAGTCAAAGAGAAAGGATGAAAGGGAAGAACTAGTTTCCATTTTAATACAGATGTAATATTGAAGAAAATATGCAAACAAGTACATTATCATCCTAAAACGGTTGAGCATTAGAGAGATATCCCCGTGTGGCTTAGCACAGACTTAAATGGTTACAATAAATGTACTTGATTCACAATCTGTGTTCATTTCCTATGATGCTTATACTACAAAAGAGCTACTTAAGATTTCTACGTTGAACCATATCTAAAAGTAGTTACGTTATGAAACACGATAACGTGGTTATTTCAAAAAGGCAAACAATCTTAGGCAGCTAAGCTCTGGGGCGAAAAAGAAGGGCACCTTGCATGGAACTTATCGCATTACATTAAAATATGCGGTTTCAATGGGCGTGTTCACACCGCAAGGGGGGACCGTGGGCGGACCATGGATCGCGCTATCGTAGCGCGACCCACGGTCCGCCCATTGGCATTCGCCGGATCCACACCGCAGTGAGATAGCGCGGTCTAACTGCACCCCCTTTTTGAGAGGTCCTGTTGTCATGACGCGTGACGTTCTGAATAGGCCATTTTCGTAATGTAACCAAATTTAATGCATACGTCTTTGTAAAGTGCCTCAATACAAATTATTTCATTCACCTGATAAGAATAATAGTATTTCAATAGACAGAATCCAAACTGCATACATTAGTTGTTGTCAGGTTGGACAAGCATTATGGCTTGACCTACCTATATAGCAACACTTAATATATGCAGTTGCATTCTGACTATTGAAATACTATTGTTCCTATCAGGTGAATGAAATAATTTGTATTGAGGCACCTCACAAACACTTATGCATTAAATTTGGTTACATTACGAAAATGGCCTATTGTACCGATTCAGATTCAGATCGCACCAAAATAGAATGAGTATAAAATTCCCCGCGTGTAGAACGATGAAATCCGGCGTGCTATCGTAGCTCGGGTTCACACCGGCAGAGAGGCTGTTCACACCGGCAGAGATAGCGCGGTCTAGCGCGCGCTAGACCGCGCTATCTCTGCGGTGTGGAAGGTACAACGTCGTTTCGGTCCGCCCCACAGCGAGCCACGGAGAGCCACGGCGAGCCAACACTGGAGCACCTCTTGGGGGTGGGCCACGAGAGATAGCGCGGTCTAGCGCGCTAGACCGCGCTATCTCTACCAGTGTGAACCCGAGCTACGATAGCACGCCGGATTTCATCGTTCTACACGCGGGAAATTTTATACTCATTCTATTTTGGTGCGATCTGAATCTGAATCGGTACAATAGGCCATTTTCGTAATGTAACCAAATTGAAGTGTTTGTGAAGTGCCTCAATACAAAGTATTTCATTCACCTGATAGGAATAATAGTATTTCAATAGTCAGAATGCAACTGAATATATTAAGTGTTGCTAGGTAGGTCAAGCCATAATGTTTGTCTAACCTGACAACAATTAATGTATGCAGTTTGGATTCTGTCTATTGAAATACTATTATTCTTATCAGGTGAATGAAATCATTTGTATTGAGGCACTTCACAAAGACGTATGCATTAAATTTGGTTACATTATGAAAATGGCCTATTCAACACTCCTAATTAGTAATAGCGCGCGAAATCTTTGTCCGCTCTGACCTCATGACGTCACGCGTCATGACAACAGGACCTCTCAAAAAAGGGGGTGCTACGATAGACCGCGCTATCTCATTGCGGTGTGGATCTGGCGAATGCCAATGGGCGGACCGTGGGTCGCGCTACGATAGCGCGATCCACGGTCCGCCCACGGTCCCCCCTTGCGGTGTGAACACGCCCAGAGATAGCGCGGTCTAGCGCGCGCTAGACCGCGCTATCTCTTGTGGACCACCCCCAAGAGGTGCTCCAGTGTTGGCTCGCCGTGGCTCGCTGTTGGGCGGACCGAAACGACGTTGTACCTTCCACACCGCAGAGATAGCGCGGTCTAGCGCGCGCTATCTCTGCGGTGTGGAAGGCACAACGTCGTTTCGGTCCGCCCAACAGCGAGCTACGGCGAGCCAAAACGGCGTGCCAGTACTGGAGCACCTCTTGGGGGTGGTCCACGAGAGATAGCGCGGCCTAGCGCGCGATAGAGCGCGCGCTAGACCGCGCTATCTCTGCCGGTGTGAACAGCCTCAATGATACTTTAGAAGAAAAAAAAAACAGTTTGAGCATCATATTATCGTCTTGGTCGAGCATCGACACGCTATATGCATAAGCATTACTAACCTAGTTATCAATGAATTACCTAGACTATAGTACCATGAGTACATATTTAATTCCCAACTGGGCGTAGTCAGTTTCTCATGAATGTAGGACCTGAACACTACAACGACCTCATCACCTCATCGCAGGTTTCCCTCGCGAGCTCGATCTGGGCTCGCCGTGGTACGAACAAATAAGACGCTACCCGGCAGGCTAGCTTTGCAAGAGTGTTGTTCTATGTTATTTAATAGGTACGAGAAATAGCTCCGCCTCTTCTACCAACGGCTCTTTACTAAATGTATAAAGGAATCCTGGTCCTGCTGGTTGTAGCTAGATGGAGTGGTCCTGCTTACACCTTTGTCCATACGTTCCGCGTATTAAGGTAGGAAATACGAGAGCCTATTACAAATGGCCAAGTTTTTGTTTAGTTTAGAGTGGAAAACATTGTGGATACAATAGTTTGAAAATGTTTTCCAACAAAAAATGGCACTTCCACTATGAAAAAAAGGAAAAGGGCATTTTGACGGATGTACGTCTTTAGGAAATGGATATTTCTCCATGAGGCAAAATCTTTCGACATATCCTCACGTGTAAGAAGAGGAACGACTGACTAGCTTGAGGAGATAAGACAAGCATGCAAGAGATGTCAGCTTTTTGCTTTTTCCGCACTTGCGAGAGAATGAATATTCAAATTCCATCCATGAACGACATGAACAATTCATTGAAATGTCATTGAGTAATTTTGGCCAATTTCGAACCATTGGCCAAATTTTGTTTGGTTACGAAAGCCTGGTCTGAAATATACTAAGTGCGCGCGCACGCATGCGTGACTTCTGAATTGGGTTCTGTTCAACGTGTATACATTAATACGATAATCTATCAAAGAGTACAACTCAATATAAATTGTGACTCGGATCTCGTGATGAAAGGTCTAGTGTCTAGTCACCTTCAACCAGTCGTTAGGGTATCATGACATGATATATTGTCGGAAGCTCCATGTTACCACACAAAATGAATAGATTCGCAATATTATGAATGACCTTGGCTTGGTCCGACTTCTCTAAAACCCTACCAACCTATATCTTTAATTTTCTGCCTTTTCCACGAATAATTCATACACATAGTTATAACAGGAAACATATAAACAGAGAAACTCCAAGCTTGTTTGACAAATGTCAGCAGTCTGGAAGCTATTTTAACCGCTGCCCCCCCCCCCCCCCCCCCTCCAAAAAATGTCCAGCAACGCGCTCGTTAGCTATCACAGTTTTACGATCTAAATGACCTGATTCTTTTGTTATCATATTTTCTAATGAAAACGAGGGGCAACGGATCCGTTTCAGAAAAAGGTTAATTCTTACTTTCGTTCTGCGTCACAATAAACCACTTTGGATAATTTACAATTAAATGGAGTTTTTCGGAAACTCATCGACAATATTCTACCTAGATATACGTCTTATAAATTGCTCCAACAATGCTTAAGGAAGAGTGGAGGTCTTGTACGGTGGATCGTGGATGACCGTTTGTGGTGGTTACTACTGGAATCTGTTAACCGCAAGGGTAATATGTAGAATGCTGTGGTTCGACGGTGCCCTGGACGCGCCACGATCGGCTAGGTTTGGTCAAGGTTCTGGTGATATTCTTGGTGTCAACTGCTGGGGAACAGAAGACAGCCTGTTAGACTGTCACAGTGTGTGGCTTGACTCTTCTTGTGGTCATCACAGGGATGCGAGTACCGTGTGTTACTTAGGAGGTATGAACTCTTTTGGACATGAGGAATCGACTAGTCGTCATTTTAAATGGCATACTGTTAACATCGCAATACAAAACACAGATTATCTTGAGCTTGTATGATCATACACTTACTTTTTTTCCTATCATTGCTACAAAATCAATTACTAAAATCTAAGGAAAAGGTTTTATCACATTCTATGACTGCGTTTGACTTTTACAATTTGTCTAGGCATTCATTGAATGCTGGCTAACATGCAGTCATATTGCTTTTAAGTTTCCGTACTCATAATAATATATGTATATTTAAGTTCATACACTTTTTCATCAGTTACTGACAGTAAATGCTCGGTCAGACAACGCGCGGCAAAACCTCGGCTTTAAATATATATATATATATATATATATGACGTAAGGTGCGTCCTTTGGTGCGCACAGTTGCCATTCATTTACACGCCATTTCTGAACAAGCCTTTAGTGATTTTTCTTACGTTTCATGAATGATTTTGAAGAGGGCCACGCACAAGGGGTAACTTTTAATCGGGGCACTGCTTCTGCCACAGGAGGGACATTGTTGTTCTCTTAGGATTTGTAGCAGGAGGGGCATTTTCTCGATCTATTATGTTCACCTACATGAAGAATTGGTTTTGCTTTCATAAAAAATTGTTATCGGACAAAGCAACCAAACTACTTTAAAAAAATTACTTACGAAAAGAGTAAGATTAAAAATGCCTTGAAATCGCTTTGAGATTACTAGAAAAAAATGATGACGATTTGAACCCTCAAAGGAAAAAAAGGCGCCTTAAAGCCAATGCATTACAACATTGGTAAATAGAGGCAAACCTATGATTTGACATGGTTTATTCAATTTCATAGGAGATGTTTGTAGTTATGAAAAAAGCTGCATTGTGTTTATTGTTCTAAATGGATGATATCGAAACGTGAATAATGATACTAAAAAATGTACATTTTCGCAATCCATGTATAATCATTTCCACAAAAGTAGCCAAAGCTGTGTGTAAATATTGTATCCTTACACTATTACAAACGAATTACGTTTCTTAAAATTCATTTTTAGCCCATCCGAATCCATTTCAAGTTTGTCTTGTCGGTGGGTCTAACGATGCTGAAGGAAGAGTAGAGGTACTGAACGATGGATCCTGGGGAACTATCTGTGACAACAGCTGGGAATTGAGAGACGCGAGGGTAGTTTGCAGAATGATGGGGTTTAATGGAGCCTTGGACGCACCGACAACTGCTAGTTTTGGTCAGGGCTCTGGTCGTATTCTACTAAATTATGTCAGCTGTGAGGGATCTGAAGACAACCTAGCAGAATGTGCTCATGCAGGAATTGGACTTAACCCATGCAGTCATACAAAGGATGCAGGAGCCATTTGCTACTCAGGAAGTATGTTTTCTCTCTATTTGTGGAAAAGTGTTACACATTTTAAGTTTCATATTAAACCTGCTTTTCACAACCTACTACACATATATCTATATATATATGTGTATGTTGTCGATTTCCTGGACATACATGTAAAAAGCTGGTGCTCAAGCAAATCGAGCTTATTGATAAAGAGGGACTTGAAGCGCTCTTTAGCAAAGCTTGATTTGGAGCTTGCATCCAAATTTGGTTAATAAATCATGTAGGAAAAGCGTAAATCTGCTTTGCACTGTATTTTAGTATTATTAGGAGATACATCACTACTTTTAAACCATCAATGCCCCTTTCTTCTTTAAATTTGCTGTTAGACCCAATGTACAATTTAAGGTTTCTTACTTGGTATGCCAGGGTATTGAATACTAGGTCTCATGCAAGGTAGCACAGCAACCAGTGTAGTAGCTGGGGATTATGGAATTGTGTAAAACAAATTGTATTCACCGCCCCCCCTCCACTCAGACTTATATCTGCATTATTTTAACAGGTGGCAAAAAATATCCTTAAGGGAGCAAACTAGAAAGACATTCCAAAGTTAAAGGTAAAGACCAGTTATAGTCATGCGATTGCATTGTGAAAGAAACGTTGTGGAATCGATCAGAAAAGGTTGATCATCTAGCATCTAGCATCTGCAAGGTTCTGGAATCATCAAAATGATAAGAAATTTGGCCAATTCTTCGTAAAGTTACAAGCACTATACACAGAAAGATGTATATGGGACTACCCTATATCTCTCACATACCATGAGAGAAACAAATTTACCAAATATATGAATTAGTAGGCGGTTTCCCGGCAAATTGTTATAATCATGTATTAGTCAAAACATATTCTTTTACATGATTGGTAATTAGAGCTTCCATTTCATTTTTTTTTGAAATTCGGGCATTTTCAATACTGGTCTTTACCTTTAAGATTTCCTTCAGATATTGAAACATTTTGCAAGTGTAATTTTAAAATATATGTATATTATCCTATTTTTGTTTTGTTTTTTTGTTTTTTTGGGGGGGGGGGGGGGGGGGGGGGCGCAGTATCAAAATCAGGCCGGAGCAACTCAAAGGCTTATTTTAAGGAGCGTAGGAATGACGATGGCATTCTCTTTGTTCTTCTTTTTTAATCTGCATCGTCCCTTTGAAGAGCTGTTTATAAGTTATTTTATATAGCGGGGTTAAAATAACGACATCCTAAAGTTACCTTTTGCCAGGGTTCACTGCGAATGAGCTTTAGACAACTGTTGCTTTTATTATCTTAATCCTAATGCAGTTTACCTTGCGTATTGGGGGCGCATATGACGTATTTTTTCGCGCCCTCTATTTTGCTTTTTTTTTAAAATGTCCCCTTCAAATGCCGCCCGCGTCAATTTTAGCTCCAGAAGGGCATTATGTTATATGGTTGGAACGAAATGTGATCACTTCGATGGGACGAGTTTTTGTCAGGGGAGACATTAAATATCATTCATAAAAGCAAGATTTGACTTGTACTTAGGCATGTTGGGGAAGGGGGTGATCAGCAGTGAAGAAAGCAAACACAGATGTAGACCTATATATCTATCAAAAAAAGGCATCTGTTTTGACATGAATGAGGACAAACGAGGGTCACAAAAAGGGCAGATTTTACGTCAGAACACTTCTTCTGTAACGGGAAGGACATTGTGTGGTAGCAGGGGGGGGGGGGGGGGGGTTCTTGATCTATTATGTTCACCTACATGTAAAATTGGTATTGCTTACATAGCAAAGTGCTAAATACTTAAACAAATTACTTGAGAAAATGTTAAGATTATTAATGCAATGAAAAAAAATAACAGCGCTTTGGATCCTCAAGGCAAAAAACAAAGGCAATGAGATTAAAAACGGGCCTGAAGGTGACTTACGGTCAATGCACTACAACACTGATATATATAAAGGCATAGCTATGATTTGAAATAGTTTATTCAATTCAAATGAGATGTTTGCAGTTTAAAAAAAAAACTGTATTGTATTTTTTTTTTTACAAATGACATTTAAACGTAAATAACGATACTGACTGCTTAACATAAAGTGATTTTATACTTTTCAAAGATCGATTACTTTTGCCTTTTCCGATTTTATAATTCTCGCTATCGCCAATATTTGCCAGGATGTAGCCTCTCGGACGTAATTTCGAGCCACTTCCGGGACTTACATAATTCCCGTGTACGATAGCGCGGGGGCGGTAAACGTATGATGCATGCGCATTGAACGTATGTAAGCGTCCGGAAGCTATTTCCAGGTTTACTCAGTTTTTGTGACAGTAGCCCTGAAAACCAAGAGAAAGATACTCCAAATCATATCGACGACCAGATTGAATAAACAATGGAAGCCCCTCCTCGCGACTTCGAGAAAATGACGGGCTCAACTTTAGAATACCCTACCAAAACTCATCATTTACGTTGGTCGTTCAATGAGCCAACAGACACCTTTAATGTTATCTTGTCCATTAGTATTCTACACGAGTTTTTTTTTATTTGCAAAAGAACACAACCAAAGAAAGTTTACTTTATTATTTATATGCCTCTACTTGCTCTTGCCCATCATACATCCAAATATCATGTTCATCCAAGCGTGAACACATACCACACAACAATGGTACTAAATGGTTTGGGATAAAACACTCTTTCATACGATGTATAATAATTTACTGTACATAGATGATTTTTAAAATAATTAGCAATTTTCTAGGTGTAAACTTTCTTTTGACTGACATGGTATAGAACTATTGAAAACGTGTATAACACTGGGTAAAAATCTGAATCTCGCCCTGCGTGTGCGTGGTATACATAAACGTAAGCCAGATCTGATGAAGAAAAAAAACAAATCCAAAGAGTGCGTCAGATCGTTTCTGATGGCAGGTGCCCTTTGATCATCCGTTGTCAGGGGATGAGCGGAGTCCCACCAATCACGTGTTTCGCAGCTTTTAAGTAACCTGATATCCCAGTAACTTCAGCATACTGTAAAATGCTAGTTATAGATTTTGAGCAAAGAATCAATGGCAACCGAAGAATAGCTAGTTCAATGCTGAGCTGCCAAAAAGTTTGTATTCGCCGTTAATGAAACAACTATCACGCAATTGTTGTCTTGTAGCCCATCCGAATCCATTTCAAATTCGTCTTGCCAATGGATCGAATGATACTGAAGGCAGAGTAGAGGTACTGTACGATGGATCCTGGGGAACTATCTGTGATTCATGGTGGGATCTGAGAGACGCGAGGGTGGTTTGTAGAATGCTGGGGTTTGATGGAGCCTTAGACGCACCGAGATCTTCACGGTTTGGTCAAGGCTCTGGTCGTATTCTACTAAATGATGTCAATTGTGACGGAAATGAAGACAACTTAGCTGACTGTGCTCATGCAGAGATTGACCTAAACTCATGCAGCCATACAAGTGACGCAGGAGCCATTTGCTACACAGGAGGTACATTTTCTTCTCTCGTATAACAAAGTTTTGTTCAACTAAACGTGCTGTGAATTGTTTGCATGCTTAATGAATGAATATCAAAAATCTCAAGAGCTAAGTGACTTAAAACTGAATAATCCTTCGCATTTGATGTGCAAATGGTCTAAACAATCAACAACAACTTGAAATTTACCCCCCCCCCGAACAAAAGAGAAGAAAAAAAAAAGGAAGAGATTTTTCTAGTTTTATAGGTCTATTTTTAATTACCATCAAATGCAACCACACCATATTCCGTAATTCTATAACCAGACGTATTTTTATGGCAAGCCCTTTTAACATTTATTCATCTTTCTTAATATCAAGAATTCATTTCTTGATTACAAGAATTTTTTTTTTTTATATCAAGAATTCAATTCTTGATATCTTAACGCAAGACTATTGCGAGAATTATTTGGATATCGAGCGCAAAAGTATTGCACGAATTCACAATTTATTTCGAGCGCAAGAGTTGTGTAAAAATTCATTCTGATTTCGAACGCAAGAGTTGTGCAGAAATTCATTCTGATTTCGAATATGATATCAAGATATGATTTTCTGTTGTAAAGCAATGGTAATTCTTGATATCAAGAATTCATTTCTTTATATGAAGAATTTAATTCTTGACATCAAGAAATAGGAATATATGTTAAAACGGCTTGCCATACAATTTCTTTAATATTCTTTTTTCTTCAGCACAAATGATTTTAAGCCGAAAATGTTTTGGTGGATCATTAAAATTATTCAAAACATTTTCGTATACCTCAGTATTATCAGTTTAATGTGTTGATGATAGGATTTCTTAATACAAATAATCTTTCTTCAAATTTCTTTTACAATTATATTCAAAGCTAATATAACATTAGCCAAAATGCTATCCCATACGTCTTTCCTATTTACGTGTAGCCAATCCAACCCCATTTGATGTTCATCTGATTGGTGGATCAAATGAAGCTGAAGGCAGAGTAGAAGTATTGTACGATGGATTATTGGGAACTATATGTGATGACAGTTGGGATCTAAGAGACGCAAGAGTAGTTTGCAGAATGCTGGGGTTTGATGGAGCCTTGGAAGCACCGAGATCTGCTAGGTTTGGTCAGGGCTCTGGTCGTATTCTGCTAACGGATGTCATTTGTGAGGGAACAGAAGACAACCTGGCAGACTGTGCTCACCGAGGAGTTGGAGATTATACTTCATGCAGTCATGCCAAGGATGCAGGCGTCATTTGTTATTCTGGAGGTAGGTTTCTCTGGTCCATATTCTATAGAATGAAAGTCCTGAGTCGATCTATGAAGACTAAATGGAGCAGGAATTCCAAAACACAGAATTGGATATGAAGGACTTTTTAAAAATAGTCAAGTCGAGTGCTTTTCATACTATTTACGACAATGGAGGGGGAAAACCCTCTTACGGCTGATATACGCAATTTTAATTTCGACCAGATATCCAGTGAAATGACATCGAAGTAGCTGCGTAGTTTCCCGCTGGATAATTACCGATTTATTTCCAATGAAATAATAGAGAAGAATGACAACTGTATTGTGTTCGTTTCACCCCAACGGTACAAAGAGAAAACACCGAATTGTTGGCATTTCACCCATTAATTCACTTTCATTAGTTATCCAGGCAAAAGATTAGGTTTATTTCGCAAACATTCGCAAAATTATAAAAAGGTAAACTCGTATAAAAATAATTTTCTCCCCAGCACATCCTCAGCCATTTCAAGTTCGTCTGATTGGAGGGTCTAACGATGCTGAAGGAAGAGTAGAGGTCACACACGATGGATCCTGGGGAACTATCTGTCATTTAGGCTGGGATCTGAGAGACGCGAGGGTGGTTTGTAGAATGCTGGGGTTTGATGGAGCCTTGGAAGCACCGAGATCTGCTAGGTTTGATCAGGGCTCTGGTCGTATTCTTCTAAAGAATGTCAACTGTGAGGGAACAGAAGACAACCTGGCAGACTGCGCTCATGGGGGAGTTGGAGATTATACTTCATGCAGTCATGCCAGGGATGCAGGCGTCATTTGTTATTCTGGAGGTAGGTTTCTCTGGTCCATATTCTATAGAATGAAAGTCCCGAGTCGATATATGAAGACTAAATGGAGCAGGAATTCCAAAACTCAGAATTGGATATTAAGGACTTTTTGTTTAAAATTCAAGTCGAGTGCTTTTCATACTATTTACGACAATAGAGGGGAAAACCCTCTTACGGCTGATATACGCAATTTTAATTTCGACCAGATATCCGGTGAAATGACATCGGAGTAGCTGCATAGTTTCCCTCTGGATTATTACTGATTTATTTCCAATAAAATGATAGAGAAGAATGACAACTGTATTTGTGTTCATTTCACCCTAACGGTGCATAGAGAAAACATCGAATCGTTAGCATTTTACACCTGAATTCATTATCATTAGTTATCCAGGCAAAAGATCGGGTATATTTCATAAACATTCGCAACATTTGAAAAAAGGTAAACTAGTATAAAAAATACTTTTCTCCTCAGCCCATCCTCAGCCATTTCAAGTTCGTCTGATTGCTGGGTCTAACGATGCTGAAGGCAGAGTAAAGGTTATGCATGAAGGATCCTGGGGAACTATCTGTCATTTAGGCTGGGATCTGAGAGACGCGAGGGTGGTTTGTAGAATGCTGGGGTTTGATGGAGCCTTGGAAGCACCGAGATCTGCTAGGTTTGGTCAGGACTCTGGTCGTATTCTGCTAAAGGATGTCAACTGTGAGGGAACAGAGGGCAACCTGGCAGACTGTGCTCATCGAGGAGTTGGAGATTATACTTCATGCGGTCATGTCAGGGATGCAGGCATCATTTGTTATTCTGGAGGTAGGTTTCTCTTTTACAAAATAATTCATTTGTATTAGTAATTCAGGCAAATGATCAGGGATTTTTCATAAACATTCGCAAAATTTGAAAAAAGGTCAACTAGTATAAAAATACTTTTCTCCTCAGCCCATCCCCAGCCATTTCAAGTTCGTCTGATTGGAGGGTCTAACAATGCTGAAGGAAGAGTAGAGGTCACGCATGAAGGATCCAGGGGAACTATCTGTAATTTAGGCTGGGATGTGAGAGACGCGAGGGTGGTTTGCAGAATGATTGGATTCGATGGGGCCTTGGAAGCACAGGGGTCTGCTAGGTTTGGTCAAGGCTCTGGTCGTATTCTTCTATTTAATGTCGGTTGCGATGGAACAGAAGAAAACCTTGCAGACTGCGCTCATACAGAGATTCAACGTTTCTCATGCAGTTATACAAATGATGCAGGCGCTGTTTGTTATTCAGGAGGTAGGTTGTTTCATTTTTATTTTTTTTGTTGTTAGGTATTTGAGTAAATAATTCTAACTTATTCGCTTGCATATACCCATGCAGGTATATTTTGCTATTCCTTTGGTCGATCATTGATGTTAATTGACTTACAAGAATTACAAGAAAGCTTGCTTAATCCGACGTCTCACCTATAATCTTGTTTTCATGGTCAAGAGATTGCTCTTCTACAGATATTTCTGATCAGGTAAAATGCTGTTAACCAATCCATGTACTTTAGTGTGTTTTTTAAAGAGGGGCACAAGATTACATTTCTTGCAAGAGTATGTACATTTTACCTGATAGACCTAATCTGCTTTTTATCCTTACCATTCAGTAAACACAACAGAACCATTTCAAGTTCGTCTTACCAATGGAACCACCGATTCAGAGGGCAGGGTGAAGGTTTTGTATAAGGGAAGCTGGGGAACTATTTGCGATGATAGCTGGGATCTAAGAGACGCAAGAGTAGTTTGTAAAATGCTTGGATTTGACGGAGCTTTAGCCGCACCTGGTAGTGCTACGTTTGGTGCCGGAAGCGGTAAAATCTTGTTTGATGACGTTGGATGCAAGGGCACAGAAGACACCCTTGCTGAGTGCTACCATCGAGGGTTTGGAGTCAACAACTGTGAACATGATAGTGATGCTGGTGTCATTTGTTTTATAGAAGGTACGTTGTGTATTTTAAATTGTTAGTGTTCATTTATACTAGTCGTCAGCCAAAATGGAGTTACGGGAAGGTATCTTAGATATAAAAAAAATACCTTCCATTGGTCATAAGCATGATTCCTACGGTTAGGCTCAGTTAAATAGTTTAAACATAATATAAAATCGAACAAAATGGTTCGTTTGGCATTTTTGTCGATTGGTAACACTTCAGTGACTTGTGCTTATAAATATGTAAACCTTATGCACAAATGTTTGTGTTGACTATTAATGTTTCATGCATGGACTACCTTTTACGAATATTAATCTTTGTCATACATCCTGCTATTATTTTTTGTAGAGGGTGTCAGTAATTTGTTTAAAATAAATTTAATGGCAACTGAATAAATTGTTTGTACACACTTTTGTCAATGATAAAATACACTTCATCTGGACCCTCTAGATCCATTTCAAGTTCGTCTTGTCGATGGATCTAACGATGCTGAAGGAAGAGTAGAGGTACTGCACGATGGATCCTGGGGAACTATCTGTGATGACTGGTGGGATCTAAAAGACGCGAGGGTGGTTTGCAGAATGCTAGGGTTTAACGACGCATTGGCTGCACCTATTTCTGCAAGGTTTGGTCAAGGACCTGGCCAAAGTCTTCTGACATATGTTCGTTGTAAGGGAACAGAAGATCACTTGGCAGCTTGTTTTCACGCAGGTGTAGGAAGTTCTCATTGTAGTCATGGTAGTGATGCTGGCGCCTCTTGCTCCGTGGGAGGTAAGCTTTTCAAATCATGATAGAATAAGGAAATTCTGATCGTCAACATTTTCTATCCTGGCTGGATAGGCATATGCTTCTTGATTTGATACTGTCCATACCTTTCCGGTGCCAATGAATTAGAGAATTTCATATTCATAAAACTGTCAGAATTATTTATGTTCTACAAATGTCTACAAGTGTTCCTGTAGATTAATCTTTTTCTTTTATAATTGCGATGTGAGATCTTGTTAACATTTTATTTAAAGGGGATAACCTAAAATTGCAATACAAATCCGTCATTATTTTTTTACTTACAAATTTGTCGAAATATCAAGCTGTGGTCAAAATGCTCACTAGCGAATATTCATTAGAAGTGTTCGTCAATTTCCACCAAGGATTTCCAAAATACTGTTCTATGAAAGAATTCGTTTGTAATTGCGTTGATAATCGCTAAATATTTATAATTCTCTTTGATAGGGTCAATATCACCGTAACCCACCCTGTATTTGTTTGCTATACATTTTAGTTCAACTTGATAATGGAGCCGATGGATATGAAGGAAGAGTTGAGATACTACACGAAGGGTCTTGGGGAACTGTTTGCGACGATTCATGGGACCTGAACGACGCTAAAGTTGTGTGTCGACAGTTAGGATTTGATGGGGCTTTAGCTGCTCTACCCCAAGCAAGATTTGGTCAGGGTTCTGGTGATATCTTTCTGGATGGTGTTCAGTGCAATGGAACAGAAACCAACCTCAAAGACTGCAAGCATAAGGGGATAGGTGTTCATAATTGTATACACAAAGAGGATGCCAGTGTCATATGTAGACATGGAGGTAATACCATGAATCCGTCATTAAAAAAAAAAAAAGCAAAAACAACTGGATACAGATCGTCTACAACGAAAAGAAGAGGCCTAAATTATATTTTTTAATCACGGTAATCGAACACCCGGGTAACGTCATTATGCATTCAAAACACAACTTCCCTAATATATCTTGCCATTTTAGTCCGTCACTCGATATTAGGAAAAAAATTCAAGCATGGAATTTTAGGAAAACTTAAGACAGTAAAATAGACATCTTAAAAGTTAAATGTTAGAACAAAAGAATTTCAAATAAAATAAATACTGCCAAAGGCTTTGAGAAAAAATGTAGGTTCCCTTTTTACGAATCAATTGTATGCAATGTTTGGGAAAGACCTGTTTTTTTATTCATTTTTTTTTTGCAATCCCTACATTCTTTTCATTCCATGAATATTTATCGGTACAAATTTGGTTTCTTCATCTTTCTAGGTTTGACGAATTACTCGGACTTGATTAACTCTGATGAAATACCTTCTGCGTACACAACCAAGCTCTTGCAAATTGGACATGAAACTGCGACAGTTCCACCAAAAATGCAAGGACAAAACTTCAGCACACCGCGACATCCGGTTTACACGAGTAAAATTGGAAATTTAAAATCAACTGCATTCCCAATTCTACTAGTTGATTTCAGAATGATAATTTTAATTGGACTGTGTATTTTATTATTAAGCTGCATTCTGATCGCATCACTTGGATACTGTATTCATAGGTTTAAAAAGAGAATGGCTGCTAGGAATTTAGATACTGAAATATATATGGACGTAACGAATATGTCATCAATGCACGCTCTGTCACATGTTACTGGTTACCAAGCATTGAACATTGCCCCTAAATTACCTGAAAGGCGGAAAAGTGATGTTTTTGGTCACCATTATGAATCAAATATACAAAAAATAAAAGATAATCATGATGGTGATTTAGAAGAGGACCACGAGTATGCGGACATGAAAACTGTTTACCAAACACCTCAAACTGATAAGGACCTGGACATAGACGGTTATCTCCTTCCGAACACAGAAAAACCTTTAAACGATAGAAAGTCGGTATCAGATAAGAGAAAACCTTCTGATGAAAAAGCAGGAACGGGGTCATTATCTCAAGGCATGAAGGAAAATATGAAAAACGATTACATGGAAATGAAAACGGTTTACCAAAAGCCGAAAACGGGGACGGACATAGATCCTAATGGATACGTCCTTCCAAACGCAATGCCTTCGTTGAAAGATGATGATACAGTAACATATGAACTAACTCGTGACAATAACGAAAAGGAATCGAACCCCGAAATCGCTTGTACCGGAGGTGAAGGAAAGGTCTCCTTACCGGAAGACACGTCACAAAAAGAGATGCATAAGTACATGGACATGAAAACTATTTACCATACACCTCAAACTGATAAGGACTTGGACATAGACGGATATCTCCTTCCGAACACGGAAATACCTTTAAACGATGGAAAGTCGGTATTAGATAAGAAAAACGGTGGTTGCAAAATGGACATGCCAAAACCTTCTGATGAAAAAGCAGGAACGGGGTCTTTATTTCATGGCATAAAGGAAAATATGAAAAATGATTATATGGAAATGAAAACGGTTTACCAAAAGCCGAAAACGGGGACGGACATAGCTCTTGATGGATGCGTCCTTCAAAACACAATGCCTTCATTGAACGATGGTGATACAGTAACATATGAACTAACTCGTGAAAATCATGACAAGGAATCGAACATGGAAATCGCTTGTACCAGAGGTGAAGGGAAGGTCCCTTTACCGCAAGACACGTCACAAAAAGAGATACAAGAGTACATGGATATCAAAACTGTTTACCAAGGTCCTGCAACAGGAACCAACACAGATCTCGATGGGTATCTTCTTCCAAGTGCTATGCTAGAGACTGGATCTTTCCGGAACAATATTACAGCAGCATCAAATGGACGCTCTGATGAAAACAGGGACAATTAATTTTGGAAATGTATTTTAACGGTACCACATGAGGAAAGGATCTCGGCAATTCAAGGAAAAGAAAGATCGCAAAGTATTGGCACTAGAAAAGAAGAAGGGAGATTGTTGTATTATCAACTATCGGAAGCGCAGTTGAAGGGAAGTGTCGAGGTGATAGGTGTCCTGTAGGATGGATAGACAACATCATGAATTTGGAGGATGGAATTAGAGTAGCGACAGTGAATACGTGAGAGAGGATCCGGCGGCCCAGAGGGGCTATGACATTACATCCTAGTAGTATGTATTTTAAAGAACGTGATAATAATCGGGGATTCCAGTAAACCAACCTACGAAACAACGTGACAGCTATATGAATGTACCATCCTGAGGGAGTGCTTTCCAGACAAGAGGTGCAATATGTTTAAAAGAAAAGGACCCAAAGTTTGTTGTACATTTGAATATATGAAATTTCTCTCTATGACGAGTGTTATAGCTATGGATTTTATTGTTAAAAGTTAATAGCACTTGCAGATTTTCAGGCAGTGATATGTAAACATATCTAAAGAGCATTAATCCTACTAAATACTTATTAAGCTGATATATATCAAGTACTTTCAGTTTGAGAAATAAAGGTTTAGAGTGTGCATGGAAATCAGATAAAGTACAGCATCTAACTACTCTCTTTTGTAATTTTAAAAGTTTATCTAACTTTGATGGATATGTAATTCCCCAAACAATATTTCCATAACTAAGATAAGGCAAAACTAATGTATCATATAGCAGAATAAGAATTTCTTTGGGTAAGAGATAACGTAGTTTGCTATTGATACCAACACCTTTTGAAGTCTTATTAGTTACCGCAAGAATTTGGCTATTCCAAGATAAGTCTTCATCAATTACAATACCTAAAAAATTGGTAAAAATGACTCGTTTTATATCGAGTTTGTTGATTTTAACTACCAGATCATGTGCATTGTTTCTGTTACTTTTTAAATTATAGAAGTACATATATACAGGTTTTTCTACATTAATAGATAGGTTATTTAAATTGAACCATGTAGATACATTTTGTAGTTCAGTATTACGCATAATTTGTAACTGCGTAATATCATTATGACTAATCAAAATGTTGGTATCATCAGCAAAAATTACAAGTTTAAGAACAGATGAGCAATTGGAAAGATCATTAATATAGAGTAAAAAAAAGCAACGGACCCAGGATTGAACCCTGTTGTACACCACACACAATTTGTAAATTATTTGAAGTAACATCGTTGAAATATACCACTTGCCTTCTATTTGTTAAATAATTCTCAAACCAAGTTAAAACAAGCCCGCGAAATCCATAATTTCTTAACTTATAAAGCATTATATTATGATCAATTGTGTCAAAAGCTTTGCTTAAATCTAAAAATATTCCGAAAGTGTGACATTTTTTTGCAAAACATGAAATCAAATAATTATGCAAATCAATCAATGCCATTTCAGTCGATCTATTTTTCCTAAAACCATATTGGCATGAATTCAATATTACATTATCACTAAGGAAACTATGAACACGTGTAAATACAATTTTTTCCAATACCTTTGAGAAAAAAGGTAATATAGAAATTGGTCTGTAATTCAATATATTGCGGTTATCCCCCCTTTTGTACACTGGGATTACCTTTGCAATTTTTAGATTTGTAGGAACTATTCCAGTTGATAATGCAAGATTGAAGATATAAAGTAACGGTTTGGTTATGTAAAATATAACTTTCTTTACAAAAATGGAACTTATGTTATCAATACTTGTGCTTTTACTCTTCTTTAGTCCGCTGACAATATTGATTAATTCGTTTTCAGTAACAGGTTTAAAATATAATGACTTTTCGCAGGGAGGTGGTAAAAAAGATTGATAAGATATGTCACTATCAACTGGAATAGTACTTGACATGGATGGACCAATGTTGATAAAAAAGTTATTAAATATATCGGAAATATCTTTACTATCATATATGGCACGACCATCTACATAGAAGCTAGCAGGTGTTTTATTTAAAGATTTACCGAGAATATCTCGAATAACATCCCAAGTTTTTTTCATATTACCTTTATGTTTTTTAAATTCATTGAAATAATGTAATCTTTTGACTTCTTTTAGACATTTAGTTACACTATTTCGACAATTGTTTATATCTCATCTTGTTATTGTTTGATGGATGTTTACAATATAATTTATACATTATGTTCTTTTTATTTACCATCTTTAACACTTTATTTGTCATCCAAGGTTTTTTACAAATTGTATGTTTTTTTAGAGAAATATTTTTTACTAAGAAGTTTTTCTCATATTTGGACAGAAATTGTTTCAAAAAGTGTTGATAAGCTATAACGGCATTTGAACAAATATACACATCTTCCCAGACTGTGTTATCTAGATCTTGCATGAAACAATTTATGTTTTTTTTTTATTAATAACATATCTATGAATATTATTATTATTTGTATTATGATGAAGGTTTTGGTTAGCCGTTATCTGAAATACTGGTAAATGGTCGGTCACATCAGTGTAAAATATACCCGATGAAATATTAGAAGATAAATTATTTGTAAAAATATTATCTATAAGAGTAGCGCTAGTTTCTGTTATACGTGTGGGTTTATCGATTAATGGTAAGAACGATGATGCATATAATACATTCAAAAATTCATTTACATATTGTTGACTATACATTTATAAATTTATATTGTAATCACCCATTATATACACCAGTTTATTTTCATGTCGAATTGCCTTTTCGTGTTTGATCGCCGCAGCTTTAAAACATTTAATCTTTATCGTTTGTTAAAATTTCTTTGAAGTTTGTGGATCTATATTTCTCGTTTTTCATTAAACCTCGTGTCAGAACCATTCGTTATTTTTATGTCACTTTTGCGTAATAAACGACACAGTGTACAGTTAATGTGGTAAAAGACTCTTTCGTGCCTTTGTCCGAACTAAGTGAATATCTGCTTTTCACTAATATTTCCACAAAACAGTGGCCGTCTTCGTATGTCATTATGGGGTTGCACATAAAACATTGTCGTTTATTAAGCAGTATACTTGTGGGAAAAGTCGTGAAACAAATAAAGCAGATCTGAATCTCTCGCAATACATAAAACAAAGAGAACCACATAAATACATGGACATGAATACCGTTTATGAAACACCTGACAATGAAAAAGAATTTGATCTCGATGGATATATCCTTCCGACCAGGGACGCATTATCGGATGATGGAGTGACACCGACGGCTGATCAATTTCGTGACGATAAATCGAATAATCATGAGTATACCGACATGAAAACTGTCTATCAGACGCCCTTAGCGGGGAAAAATGTTTATCTTGATGGATATCTTCTCCCGTGAGAGGACAACTCCGAGGACAACCAGCGTGCAAATAAAAAAAACTGCACCTAAAAAAACTCCTGAAGTTTCTAAGAGTTTAAAATAAAAGACTGGAGGCTGCCGTGAAAAAAAATATATAACACGGGATTATTACCATAAATATATGGACATGACAACTCCGGGTAAAATATTCATGAGATAAACGATAAAATTAGACACTTATGAAAAGGGGTTCAGTTGTTGCTAATGCACTTATCCGTCATTTGTAAGGATGTACACAAGTGTGCTGAAATAATTGATTATCGAATGAGAGCCGTATTTTAGTGGTAACTAATCACCACAGTCGAAAAGGATTCTTCCGCTTCAGTACGATGGAAAACTGAAAGTGATGTCAAATTTAATTATTAATGGCGGTCATAAGTTTAGCGAGTAAATTAAAACCTGTTTAGTTCCATACGATCTCAGTTCAATGACGATTAATGCCTATTCTATTACCATCCACACGCAACTGTTTTTCTAAACCATTTTTTAATTCAATGGACATGTCTAATGATTAAACTTACAACAATGTATCTTCAAACCACTGATCTAAACCAACTCGTAGATTAGACACTGTCAGACATATATAGGTTTTTTTCTTCTCCATTGTGTAATACCATTCAAGACAAAATGTATGACAGTAATACAGACTTTCATGTAAATGTCAGGCTAAACGACAATAATTACGTTATCAGTGTTGAAATAATGAAAGAACAATAAGGATTAGGGTACAAAAAATGAAAGTATCATATATTTTCTGTAAGTTTATCTCTTTGTGATACACGAATAATAACTTCTGTAAGATTGTAAATAAATTGACGAGTGTAATTGCTTAACCAAATAAGAGCAAAATGTTCGACATAGCAAGGAATGTACAATAATGGAAACAAATGAAATCGTATCAATCATATTGCGTTCCTTCTTTGGTTATAGACGTGTCATATCAAACTACTTAGATATTGAATGTACTCAATAGCCTCTATCACTATCAACACTTTAGATTTGGATTAATTCATTAAGTAATAGAGAAGAAACAGAGATTATTCATAATTATATGTAAGTCCCTTCTATTTATCCAAATAATCTATTTTCACAATATATATTTATCCTAACGATAATAAAAGGGATAACTAGTCAGGCTTAACATCTTGCTTTCAAAATAACAGTTCTGGCTCCTCAGCAGTATGTTTCTTCCTTTTGTTTGTTGTATTTGTTAGTGAGTATCCATTTGGCTATAAAGGGGTTACGTGACACTCAATATATTGTTATAATGTGGACGACTTTGCAAAATACAACAACCCTTTTAACACGGTATAACGCATACAAAAGAGAATCATCTGCGCACCTCTCTTCCTTGCATATTATACTCCATTGTTTGGGCAGCGCGCATGGATCGGCTCCAAGGAATCAAGGCAAGAGGTCGCAAATACCCTCAATTTTATATTACAAATACTGCATGCATTCAGTATAACATATAATCACTTAACAATTTAGAATGTGCCTCGAGCCATTATATCTTAACCTCAGCCTGCTGCCTCGGTGAAATATAACCTCACTCTGGAAGTTGTCGATTCACATATTTTGTTGTATTTGAACGCCGGAGCATGTGATATTTCTATATGTGCGCGAGTGTGCAACGTTACCACGCTTTGGGCACTGTATAACGCGTGCTAAAGTTAGTTAGACTGTGCACCTCTCAGCCCTGCTCGTACCCATTGTTTGCAATATCTTAGTTTGGCGCATGTAAAGCCCCCATCACACCAAACTAGTTCTCACTACGTTCTCGAAAATGTTGCCAAACGGGCTCAAACTGTGTGCGAACGGAGTGGAACGTAATAGCAACCGTTTGCGACCTGTTTAAGAACTTTATAGAGGGGCTCGGACTGGACTAATGTCTCTAATACGATCCTAGCTCGTTCATTAACAGTCCACAATACGTCCAACTCGTCTGTACCCGTCCACAGTCAGTTCATATCAAGTTCAGATCGGATAAATTTGATATTTCCAAGCAGTCCAAGCCATTTTTAATAGTTCGGCACTTGTTCTTACTAGTTTATAACCCAACCACCCCGTTCAGAGACAGTTCATCTCGTCCTCATCTCGATCTAAGTGCGTTCGAACGCGCTTCTATCGTGCTTTGCAATCCCGTCCTGGTTCGAGTGCTATACAAACCCAGCGCGTTCTTCCTCATTGATGCTCGACCACATCACGTGGTAACACGTTCCTAGTATGATCGAAGTACGGCAATTCCGTTCGTAGTACGTTAATCTCGTTTTAAGTACGTTGTCACTCTGTCCAGTTGCAGGACGGGGAGAATTTTGAATAGTCTCAAAGTTCTAGACCACCCTTCCCGTCCAAGCCAGTCCGAGCCCGTCCATGAAGTCCTTAAAAAGATCGTAAATAGTTGCTAATACGTTCAATCCGTTCAAACACAGTTCGAGCCCGTTCGGCGACATTTTTCAGATCGTAGTGAGAACTAGCTTGGTGTGATAGGTGCTTGACTTGAACTTCTTGATCTGCAAAGCCTAAAGCGTTTAAGTTGAACGGGAATGAGGAATGGCGAAAACCCGCTGGGTTTTTATAACTCCCGAGTCAGAACGGGATTGCACACGCTCTAGTAGCGCGTTCGAACGCACTCAGAACGAGATGAGGAAGAGTTAAACTGCCTCTGAACGGGGTGGTCGAGTTAAAAACTAGTTAGAACAAGTGGCGAACTAGTTAGAATAGGTTTGGACGTATTGGGAACGAGGTAGAACTAGTTAATAATGGGTTTAAACTGACTACGGACTGGCTTGGACTGCCTAATCTACCCGATCTCAACTTATATCACAACTCACGTCGGTTTATGACTTGCGTGACAATCCATCTGAAACTCGTATACGTCGATGCAATGACTTTCCTTCGTTCAGGCTGATGCGTTTATCTAAGAAGTGTTTTCCCGGAGTCGGGGATACCGAGAAGTACAGAAAGTCTCAAAATCGTCGTAAAAAAAACAGAGCATTTTTCGAAACAAAAGAACCTTTCGTGGCACAGCTCGTGGTTGATCTCAGCCGTTTCTCACAAGAACAGGTTCCAAGAGGCCGCTGGAAAAAGGTAAACTGCGTTGAAAACTCCCCTCAAAATCACGCCGATATCATATGCTATTACATATATCATATACAAACAAAAAATAAAAGAGGAAGCATGAAAGGGAAGAACTAGTTTCCACTTATAATACAGATGTAATGTTGAAGAGAATATGCAAACAAGTACATTGTCATTATTAACCTGAAACGGCTGAGTATGGAAGGAATATCCCCTGCTAAGACTTTACAGTTTCGAGGAGAAAGAGAAGAGTACATGATTTTACGTATGCCCATACATCGAGCAAAACATTATCATCTTGGTCGTGCATGGAAACCTTGACCAATATGCACAAACCTTACTAACCTAGCTGTCAATTAATTACCTAGGCTATTGTACCATGAGTACATAGTTGCAGTTGCCAGCTAGGCGTTGTAAGTTTTTTGATAATTTTTGTTGTAACTGTTTTGTCTCTTATTTGCAATGCCATTAATTTTTTCTCAAAGAGAGAACTCTCCTATTTGGTGTGTAAAGAAATATTCAAAATTTCTATGGCATGTTTTGAAAAGAAAAGATTGCGGATACAATACTTTGAAAATGTTTTCCCGCGAAAAATGGTGCTTCCACCATGAAACATAGGAAATGGTCATTCTTGATGTAGCTCTTTAGAAACTGGATAGTTCTCAATGATGCATATTCTTTCGACAGGTCCTCACCAGTAAGGAGGAACGACTGACTAGTCTGAGGAGGCAAGCATGTAAGAGATGTCAGCTTTCTGTCTTTGCCGCACTTGCGAGAGAATGAATATTCACATTACATACATGAACCACATGAACAATTCATTACAATATCGTTGAGTTATATTTTGCCAATTTCGAACCATTGTTACCATACACATGACTAAATTCGCTCAGGTCGTTATCAGTGACCTGAACTTGGTTCGATTTTTTTTATAAAACTCTACCAACATATATCTTTAATTTTCTGCGTTTTCCACGAAGAATTCATTCGCATGTAAAAGAAAAACAGTCTCACATAAAAAAACAAGCTTGTTGGACAATGTCAGCAGTATGAAAAATTAGTGTTACCCCTGCCCCCCACCCCCCCCCCTCCAAGTCTAGCAACACACCTGTTACCTAACAGGTGTGTTAGGTAATATGACAACTTCACGATCAAAATAATCTGATTTGTAGTTATGATATTATTATATATAAAACGAGGACAACGTATCCGTTTCAGAAAAAGGTTAATTCTGGGTCACACTTAATCACTTTGGATAAAATACAATTAAACGCAGTTTTGCAGAAACTAATCGACATCTACCTATAAGTACGTCTTATAAATTGCTCCAACAATGCTGAAGGAAGAGTCGAGGTCTTGTTCGATGGATCGTGGATGACCATTTGTGGAGATGTCTACTGGAATCTGTTCCAAGCAATGGTAATATGTAGAATGCTGGGGTTCGACGGTGCCCTGGCCGCGCCACGATCGGCCAGGTTTGGTCAGGGTTCTGGTGATGTTCTTCGTGTCATTTGCTGGGGAACAGAAGGCAGCCTGGCCGACTGTTTAGGTGTGTGGCCTGACTCTTCCTGTGGGCATCATAAGGATGTGGGCGCCGTGTGTTACTCAGGAGGTAAGAACTCTTTTGGACATAAGGAAACGACTAGTCCTAATTGTAAATGGCATACTGTTAAAATCGCAACAACAAAAAGAATAGAGCTTAGATGGTCAAAAATATTGACCAACATGCAGTCTTATTGCTTTTTAAAAACCCAAACACACAATAATATATATATTTAGGTAGCTTTTGTTCATACATTTTTTTTTTTTTAATTAAGCCCGCCCGAATCCATTCATGGTACGTCTGATCGTTGACACTGACGGTAAATGCTCGTTCAGACAAGATGAGGCAAGACTGTGGCTTAAAAAAAAAAAAAAAATATATATATATATTACCTTAGGTGTTTCCCTTGGTGCGCGCAGTTGCTATTCATTTACACGCCATGTCTGAACTAGCCTTTAGGGATTTGTCTTACCTTTCATGAATGATTTGTAAGCAACAATGATTTTAATGTTGTCCAAGGTATTTTCAAAACACATTTATTTTGTGCACAAAGACCGTGAATAACTTTTGAATTACTGACTACCTTTTTTTCTTCAGATTTCGTTTGATTTTAGTCAAATGTATGATATGCACTTTGTTTTTCTTCTTAACTACCGAAGCGAAAAACGAGTGAAAGAGGGAAAATAATTACTTTCACAGCTTTTGGTTTATATTAAATTTGTTATTTTCTTATTTTAATTCCCTATCAATATATTACGCAGTAGATATGAAAAGTAACAGCTTTAATTGAAAATTATCTATATCTAAGTGAAAACAAAACTGTTTAAACCTGAACAAACTTTTCGTTTGATATATATATATGTTGAGTTTTTCTCTTTTTAAGAAAGGGATTTCGGCTGTATTAACAAACTTCTTTGTCGCTATCCACACTTATTTCGGGACTCTTAGGCGTTTGCTCTCGAGGATTGTGGGCTCAAAATCAACAACCTTATATGCGTTTTAACCATAAAGTTTGCACTCCTTTGGTCTAAATGTGACATGGCAAAACTATTCACATTTCAAGCAAAAAAAGATTCATCCCCGGTTCTCCCCCACAGATCCATTCCAAGTTCGTCTTGTCGGTGGGTCTAACAGCGCTGAAGGCAGAGTAGAGGTACTGTACGATGGCTCGTGGGGAGATATCTGTGATGACAGTTGGGATCTGAGAGACGCGAGGGTGGTTTGTAAAATGCTGGGATTTGATGGAGCCTTAGCCGCACCGGGATCTGCTAGGTTTGGTCAGGGATCTGGTCCTATTCTTCTAACTCGTCTTGCGTGTAAGGGAACAGAAGACAACCTGGCAGACTGTGCTCATGCAGGGATTGGAAATTATACTTCATGCGGACATGCCAGGGATGCAGGCGTCATTTGTTATTCCGGAGGTAGGTTTCTCTGGTCCGTATTCTCTAGAGATAAGATTATTAGTCGATCTACGAAGACAAAATGGAGCAGCAATTCTAAAACACTTAATTTGATATTATTGCATTTTATTTCGAATAGTTTAAATAAGTCGAGTGCTTTTCGTTTTCTTTTTCCGACAAGGGAATAGCAAAACTCTACAACTTATATATAAAGTTTAAATTTCGACCAGATCTTCAGTGAAATAACTTTGAAGTTGGTGCCCTGTTTCCCTGTGGATATATTAGCAAATTATTTCCAATGAAATGATAGAGAAGAATTACAATTGTATTGTATTTTTGTCATGCATACAGTATATAGAGAAAACATCAAATTGTTGGCATTTTACACATGAATTCATTTCCATGAGTAGTTCAGACAAATGATAAGGTTTATTTCATAAAGATTGGCAAAATGTGAAAATTGTAAAAAAGAAAAGATAATTTTTTCCTTAGCCCATCCTCAGCAATTTGAAGTTCGTCTTGTCGGTGGGTCTAACGATGCTGAAGGCAGAGTAGAGGTCATGCATAATGGATCCTGGGGAACTATCTGTGATGACAGCTGGGATCTGAGAGACGCGAGGGTGGTTTGCAGAATGCTGGGGTTTGATGGAGCCTTGGACGCACCGGGATCTGCTAGGTTTGGTCAAGGTTCAGGGGATATTCTTCTAGATGATGTTTGGTGTTCGGGTACAGAAGAAAACCTAGCAGAATGTCCACATAGAGGGGTTGGAGTTCATAACTGTGGACACAACGAAGATGCTGGTGCCATTTGTTATTTAGGGAGTAAGTTACCTTCCCGTTTTAAGCTAGTGTGTACAGAAAATGTTTAATATAAAGAAAAGTTATTTTCTCTGTAGGTAAAGGATCTTTCCGTCATATTTGTCCAACGAATTCCCTTTATCGGGAAGCCAGATTATAGGAGGAACTACTATAGTTGCTCTAATCTATATATGTATTTAAGTATTATAGTTTATAAGAGTTTTAATGTATATATCGTATTTAAAGAAATAATTGTTCTTCTTCACAAAAACTGATTTCATTCTACTCAATCATGGATTACTTTTACTTGTACAAATATCATGTTGACTGTTTCGTAGCAATTGAACGCAGCTAAATCCTATCTCATGATTCTATGTCAAAACCTATTTTTTTTAAGGTGTCTTTGGTCCGTATTCTACAGAGACAGGTTTTGAGTCGATCTATAAAGACTAAATATAGCAGTAATTATAAAACACTCACTTTGATATTACTCGCTTTTTATTTCGAATAGTAAACTCGACTGCTGTTATTTCTTTCTGACAGTGGAATAGGAAAACTCTTACTGCTGATATACGAAATTTTAATTTCGACTAAATCTCCAGTAAAAATAGCATTGAAGTTGCTGCTTCGATTTTTTCCTCGGGATATATTAGCGATTTCTTTCAAATAAAATAATTTCGACTAGATCTCCAGTAAAATAGCATTGAAGTTGCTGCTTCGATTTTTTTCCTCGGGATATATTAGCGATTTCTTTCAAATAAAATGATGAAGAAGAATGACAAGTACGTGTTATGTTTGTTTCACCCCAACGGTACATAAAGAAAAAATCGAAGTGTTGGCCATTTACACATGAATTTATTTTTAATAGTAGTTGATGCAAATGATCAGGCTTATTTCACAAACATTCACAAAATGTGAAAAAGGTAAAATAGAAAAAAATAATTTTCTCCTCAGCCCATCCACAGCCATTTCAAGTTCGTCTTGTCGGTGGGTCTAACAATGCTGAAGGCAGAGTAGAGGTAATGCATGATGGATCCTGGGGAACTATCTGTGATACTTGGTGGGATCTGAGAGACACGCGGGTGGTTTGCAGAATGCTTGGGTTTGATGGAGCCTTAGCCGCAGCGGGATCTGCTAGGTTCGGTCGGGGCTCTGGCCGTATTCTTCTAGCTTATGTCGGGTGTGAGGGAAGAGAAGATAACCTTGCAGACTGTGCTCATCCAGGGATTGGAAATTACTGTAGTCATGGACGCGATGCCGGCGCCATTTGTTATTCAGGAGGTATGTTTTTTAAAAGCCATACTTTCAATCAACCTTTTTTAAATGCTTCCAAAATTCCTTGGTTTAACATTGCACATATGAGCGTTGCAGTAAAGTCCCGAACCTTGCGACTGAGGTATTGACCATGGTGACCAGCAAGGCCAAGGCCCAATCATAAATAAATTTCGGGAAAATGGAACGTGCAAACATGGATGTCCGCACACACATAAACAGACAAAAAAAAACATGGCTTCTTTATACCAAACAAGCTGTGTTTTAAATGTAGGTAATGCCTACATGAAATAAATAACAATATTAATGGAAATTCTTTCAGTGGGATTGGAGGGGGTGGAAAACTGTTACATATATTCAGTTTCATAATCCCCTTTTTATTACCTCCTACTTTATATTTGTTATCGATTTCCTGGACTTACATGTAAATAGCTGGTGAGCAAGCGAATCGAGCTTATTAATAAAGAGGGACTTCAAGCGCTCCTGCCTCACATATCGATTGCATGGGACTATATCTTTAACAAAGCTTGATTTGGAGCTCGCATTTGGTTAATAAATCATGCAGGAAACCCCTTATTATGTTTTGCACTGCATTTTAGTATCATCAGAGGATGTATGACATCTCTTAAACACTCAGTGCCCTTGTCTTCTTTTAATTTGCTGTTAGGCCCAATGTACAATCTAAGGCTTTTATTTTTACTTCATATGTCAGGCGGTGAATTAGAGATCTCATGTAAGGTTAAACAGCAAAGGTTGGCGTAGCTAGGAATTATGGCATTCGAGTAAAACAAAATTGTCTTCATCCCCTCCACCCAGACTTATTATGACGACAGGGGGCAAACCTTCAAAGTAATTGAAGGCATTTGACACATGAATATATAAGGGAGCAATTTAATTAAGCGGTATAGAGTTCGACTTATAATGAATAATACACGATATTCTCGAATACCACGATAAACCTTGTCCAGGAAATTAAAAAAGCATCTCAAAGTTTAGATTTTTTTTAAATGTTGAAAATTCGCAAGTGCCATTTTAAACTATACATATGTTATCCTATTTTATGGGGCGCAGTATTAACATTATACCGATGCAACTCAAAAGCTAATTTTAAGGAGCGTAGGAATGACGATGACATTCTCTTCTTCTTCTTGTTAGTATCTGAACCCTTTAATGAGATGTTTATAAGTTACATTAATTCAATTACGTTGTGATAAAGCGTACTGCGAACGAGCTTTAGAAAATTGTTGCTTTTATCTCACAAAATAATTCCTAATGCCTTTTTACCCTGCGTTTTAGTGGCGCATATGATGCTTTTTTCGCGCCATCTATTTTGCGTATTGTTTCGCCTTCAAAGGAATGAAATGTGTTAACTTGATGGGACGCTTTTTGTCACAGGTGACATTAAATATAATTTATAAAAGCCAGATTTTACTTGTACTTCTACTGGTGGGGGGGGGGGGGGGGGGTGGAATCAGCAGTGAACAAAGCCAGGAAACATAGATGTATAGCTACCTATCGAAAAGGCATGTGTATTGACATGAACGACGGAAAACAAGGGTGATTTTACATCGGGGCACTTCTTTTGTCAGAGGAGGGACATTGTGTTGGTCTCTTAGGATTTGTTGCAAGAGGGACATTTTCTTGATCTTTTTTGTTCACCTACATGAAGAATTGGTATTGCCTGCATAACAAACTGTTATTAGACAAGAAACCAAACTACAATTTTACTAAAAAAAAGTAAAATTAATGAAATTGCCTTGGGATTGTTAGAAAAAGTAAAAACGCTTTGAATTATCAGGGCTAAGGCCAAGGCAATGGGAAAAGGCTATACACTACAGCATTGATAAATGAAGGCAAAGCTTAGATTTGACATGGTTTATCATATTTCAAAAGAGATGTTTGTATTAAAAAACAACATATGTATTGTGTTCATTTTTTAAAATAAATGATATCGAAACGTAAATAATTTTTCTGAAAAAATTACGTTTTTGCAATGTAATCATCTTCAAAAAAGTTGCCAAACCTGTCTGTAATTATTATATCGTTACACTGGTAAAAACGAATTACACTTTTCAAAATTCCTTTTTAGCCCATCCGAATCCATTTCAAGTTCGTCTATTCGGTGGATCTAATGACGCTGAAGGCACAGTAGAGGTCATGCATGATGGATCTTGGGGAACTATTTGTGATTATTCATGGGACCTGAGAGACGCCAGGGTAGTTTGCAGAATGCTTGGGTTTGATGGATCTTTGGACGCACCGAGATCTGCTAGGTTTGGTCAGGGCTCTAGTCAGATTCTTCTATCATATGTCGAGTGTGAGGGAACAGAAGACAACTTAGCTGACTGTGCTCATGTAGGGATTGAACGTTACTCATGCATTCATACAAGGGATGCAGGAGCCATTTGCTACTCAGGAGGTATGTTTTTAAAAGCCATATTTTCAATCAATCTCTATGAAATGCTTCCAGAATCATTTGCTTAAACATTAAATATATATATATATATATATATATATATATATATATATGGGTGTTGTAGTCGAGGCCCAAACCTTAAATACAAATGCTTTTGCAATGTATACTAGCAAGGTCAAGACTTAACACTCTAACACCATGACTAAGGACGAATCATTAACAACGTAGGTCTTATTCTGCTAAAGTATGTCAATTGTCACGGACTGAAGACAGCGTAGCAGACTGTTATCATTCGGGGATCGGACGTTATTGATGCAGTCATACATGGGATGCATGTTCCATTTGCTATTTAGAAAGTATTTTTTGACATTTGAACCTAGAAGTACAGCTACCCGACAATGATGTTCTTTGATTGATCATTAGATGCTCACAGATATCTCCACTGCTCGCGATGCCACCCCCTCACCCCCCCCCCCCGATAAAATCTGAATGCGATAGTATAATTAACCCCCTCGCTATTTATATATACAAAAAAATGCATCAGCTTGTGCTCTAAAACACCAAGACAATATAAATAAAAGACAAGAAAATAGCAACAATTAAGTAATCAAAGACATACTGTAGCTACATTAGCATAAAGGCATCCGAATAGAGAAATGTGTTGCTTATAATGACTCGCTATTACCTTTCAGAATCTATTATTACTATTGATTTCGAGACTACTGATCCTTGATGAGCGCTGTTGTTGTTTTTTACTGAATATTTCTCCATTCTTTATTATATTTCAGAATCTACTAGTACTATTGAATTCGAGACTACTGATCCTTCTTTGCCAAGTACCACCCGTGAAGGGCTATCGACGGATCTTGGTAATACATCTCTGTATTCAAATACTCCAAACATACCTGGACACTTCAGGCTAGATGAACCTGAAAATCTACAATTTTATGAAGTCCCCCGCAATCTTTTCCTATTGCTCGGAATAAGTATCCCCGTTTCGAGCATTATTCTTATCGCAGCGTTCGTATATTGCCTATGTCGATCCCGGAAGAGAAGAGCTAAAAAGAATCTTGATGCAACTGTATACATGGATTTGATGCATTCTAGGTCTGTAGACCTTCAGAACTTAGACTCAATCTATCAGGATCTTAGTTCCCCACCTAAGTTACCAGAACGCTTGTCAGCCGTTGTATCATCTCGGAAAAATAAATCGCAGGTTGCGTTGGCAATAAGGCAAAACACGACAGATGAACAGGTGCAAATCATTGGCGACAACGGATTAAACGCAACCCATGAGTACATGGACATGAATACTATCCGTAAAAGACCTCCTAAATCTAAAGATGAAGACATTGATGGTTATCTTTTACCAACTGCTACAACTCTGGAACCAAGAGTTTACATGGAAATAGGAACGACCACTGCCGATGAAGTAGTTTCTGACAATGAGATAAAAGTGCCAAAAGGAAGAGACAGCATTAAACAAGATGCGATTCATAAATACATGGACATGAAGCCTATTGGTCAAAAGCCCGCAACTGGCACCGATGTAGATCTTGATGGTTATAATCTTTCAACTGCCACAACTTTAAGGTCTGAATTAACCCCTATGGTAGCTATGAGAGCTGCATGTGTATCAGGTTCTGGCAATGACAAAAGAATGAAAAGAACAAGGCATAGCGATAAACAAGAGGCAATTCATAAATACATTGGTGTGAAGCATGTTAATCAGAAGCCCTTAGAAGATACAGACAAATATCCTGATGGATATCTTCCAACTTCTAGAGCAACGAAATCTGGATCAAAGTCTGAATTTTGCATGATGTCGCGAATGAATACCTTTAATCAAACGCCTCCAAATGACACCCACAAAGACACTGACGGTTATCTTCTTTCAACTTCTACAGCTTCAAAATCTGAATTTACATCATCGATAGTAACGAGAGCCGCCAATGTAGCAGAGAACGGCGTCAGAACGACAAGAATAAGAGCGAGCAATATACATGGTATAGACCATAAGTACATGGACATGAATATTGTGTATCAAAAGCCTGCATCTGGTTCTGACTTCGATGTTGACGGTTATCTTCTTCCTGGTGTCACATCAGCGGACACCGAACAAGATGGTGATGACTATCTTCTCCCAAGCGTTACGCCTTCCAAAAGCGAAGCTCTCCCGGATATCAGAGTAAATTCAACTGGTTTACCCGATATTGACAATAATCAAAGTTTGAAAGGAACACTACAATCCAGCAGACAAGATAGAATTCATGAATACATGGACATCAAGTCTGTTTATCAAAATGCCCCAGAAGTTACATACATGGACACTGATGGGTATCTTCTACCTGGCGTTACATGTTCAGGAAACGATCTTTCTGTGAATGTAACTGGAGTCAAACGGTATTACACTAAAGCAAGTGTCACCAAAGAACCGAAAAATACTAAAGGAAATAACATTCACGAGTATATGGGTATTAACTCAGATACGGATGTAGGCATAGACAGGGATTTATCTGTAACTAAAGGGTCACGGACAAGCTGTCCGTATGTGAAAGAAGTTAGACATGCATCCGTTATAAAAGGCAGTACAGCGACTGAGCTACATGAATACATGGACATGCCAACTGTTTATGAAGCGGCTTCTGCAGATAAGGAGATGGATACTGATTGTATTGGTGATTCTACAATGTCAACACACACGGAATATAGTTCCGACGAATGCTAAAATGGCAGTAACTGGCGTCCCACTTGGTAATGAAAAATTCAAAGTGGCAAGGTCATCGCCAGATATGGAATACGATATTAATCCTGAATACACCAACATCACAACTATTTAAGGGTTGGTCACAAATGAAGAGTTTCATTCCAAAAGGAGCTAAATCCACTTTGGGTACTTCTGAGTAAATGACCTTTTTTATTTCTCCCCTTTCCTTTTTAGCCATGGACCTTAATGTTGTTATATATTTTAAAGGTGTCACCCTGGACCAATAATATATGATAAGAAAAAAATCTACTAGTTTTCCCTGATTTTTACTAAATTTTTAGAATTTTTGTTTTCGTGGATTTAGCTCCTTTTGGAATGAAACATGATATTGTACCTGGAAATTTTTTATATTTTCTCAATAAAGTCACTGAAATGTATTCAAATTTAGTAGCAAACCTTTTCTTTAAACCATAATAGTGAAATCGCAACTAAAAACACCTTTTGAAAAGAAAGTAAACAACATATCACATTTTCATTCCAAAAGGAGCTAAATCCGTTTCATTCCAAATTGAGCTAAATCCATGTTTTATTCCAAAAGGAGCTAAATCCACAAAATCTAAAAATTTAGTAAAAATCACAAATAACTGGTAGATTTTTTTTTCTTATCATATATTATTGGTCCAGGGCGACACCTTTAACATATATAACAACATGAAGGTACATTGCTAAAGGGAAAGTGGAGAAATAAAAAAGGTGATTTCCTCAGAAGTGCCCAAAGTGGATTTAGCTCCTTTTGGAATGAAACCGATTTGGATTTAGCTCCTTTTGGAATGAAACATGATATTGTACCTAAATTTTTTCATACTTCCTGGTGAAATGTTCGAATGTGATATAGTGCATTTTGTCCCCATGTAGGATAACATTATTTTAAGACAAATAACTCCATTTTGAAAAAATATGGATTTAGCTCCTTTTGGAATCAAGCTCTTCAAATAGTGCCGTAGGCCAATAATAAAAAAGAAGGAGTCGCGGTTTCGTCGCGTCATATCTGAACGAGCCTTTACAGAGAAAGAGCCACAACAATGGAAGACAAAGTTTTTGATATTGTAATTTGTTTAAAGATACCAAACATTACACATTTTCAAATTATTTTGTCCAGACCCGAATGTTGATAAATGCGATGAAATGTAAATGGTCAAAGTTCATCGGTAGGTCTACATAGAAAAAAGAAAAGAAATTTGTGAAGAACACCCACATAGGAATGACGAGGATAGATGTATTCTGATAATATGGGCAATCGGATACTTTGGTAGTGATGCACTCACTTGATGTACTCAACGAAGTGTCCCTTTTTGCCTGTAAATACTGTTAAAAATCATATTTGTATTTATATAGATATTTATCTATATTTATATTTTACATCATCAGTTTGTATATTGTAAGACATTGTTAAGTATTCTTCTTTTTCAAACTATCAATTGTAATAGTAAATTCATTTTTGTTGTTTTGTTACGTTTTCATAACTGATTTGTATTAAAATACTTCGTTTATCACTTAACCCATACCGACCAAAAATGCAAACACATTGTATGGAATGTATTACTGTTTTGCTTTTAGTAAATGAAAATCAAATCAATTAATCTGTAATAAATTTAAGAGCACCAATCGCCACACAGAAGCAGACAATTCATGACATATTAACAACATAGTTCATTTTATTTACATAAACAACGGTATAAAGTAATTATGTATCCTGATCGGTAAATAAATAATTGTGATATATACATTTAAAAACTATGCACCACTCAGATATAAGATTTTAAAATTACTGAAGTATTTTGCCAAATCCTTTGTATAATATTCGTTAAAAAAAACTATTCTTTTCACATGACTGTTGTCTGACGTTATTTCTTAAATTCTTATACTTTGTATAGTTTCTTATAGAGTATATATACATATAGGCGATCGCCTATACACATATAGGCGATCCTACTGTAAATGATATTGTTCATATCCGAAACGTTTTGTAAATGAATTGTACGTTTGCTTTCAGGGTGTCTAAAACGTTGTTTGGTTTTTGTAAAGTGATTGAATGTGAGAATATTATTATCAATATTAAATTAAAAGAAATTGTAAATATAACATAAGATGTAGCGCATAAAGTCTCATCCAGTAATTTTGTTTTAAACTTTCAAATGTTTACTAAAGATCGAGGGTAGACCATTCTTCAAATACGCCAACCAACAGAAAGTAATGCGGTTTCCGTTGAGTTTCGTTGAGAATACAAGGCATCTTACTACCAGTTAACTACTAACTAATAAATCACTGTGTTTAGTCCTAAGATCTCAAAAATTCATGAGGATAAGAGAGGAACCCCACTCACGCCCTCCCTTGGTGTACAAGAGAAGAGTCACTCTTATTCATCAATTTCTTTTCAATTGTGAGATCACTAGGGCACCATGACACTTAAACCATATGGAAACGTTTGCTTCGATTTGTCTCATAAAAGAAGTCGACCACGACACACAGCGTTGAGAGCAGTAGTCACGAGCAAAGAACTGTAAAATACGTAGAACGCTCATCCAAATTCACAATGCACACATCGACATTTTGCCGTTGAACGTGCTGGGAGATACGCTCCAGTCCACATGCCGCCATTTTGCTTAGTCCTCGATCTTTCCAGATAAAAAATGTCAAGAATTCCAGCTTGGCCTGTCGATGAGAAAAAAAAAGCGGCGAACACAACAGAGGACTAACAAAGATGGCGGATATCACGTGATCACGTACGAGCGCTGGCAACATTTTTTGAACCACTATGAGCCTTCTTCGAATGTCAATGAGTAAACTCCGACCAAAATATACAACTAATCAAAACAAGTTTAATACCAGAAGAAAGCTAACGATTAGCTTATTCATTAGTCGCTCACTCCACAGCCGCATGATCATAATGGAACGAGTAAGGACTTGCGAGAGTGGCCGAAGTGAAATTAAAAACTCGTTATTTTCCTCATTTCCAACGCAAAAAGTGATGATTGTGCTAAATTACTATTTTCCCGACACAAGTACACGGAAAGTGCATATTATTTGTTTATATTATACTTTGAGAAAGGTTACCTAAATGACTCCCGGGCACCCCAATGCTGAAAGAAACTCACTTTTTCTTGCAAAAATGCTTGTTTGTTCTATGCACGCAAATCAGATTGAGCGGATAATACAACGTTTCCATATGTGGGACCCCTTTCCACACACATCCTTAGTTTTATGCCATCTCCTATCGTCCAACTAAAAAGTAGGAACATTATATGCATCATAAGTTTAAGTCGGTCGTTGATTAGAGCTTTGGTCTACCTAGAGACACATAAAATTCGTAGGTTGAACGGGAGTTGGACTTATTTTTATTAAAAGGGGGATGATATACTTTTGTTGGACCGCTAGGGAGTTTTATTTTCCCTCGTAATTACATTTCCCTCAGCTGCGCGTTTTGGAAAAATATTACTCCCGTCAGCGGTCCAAAGAATGTTATATTGCACACCCTACCAGTCAATATGTGTATGAAATATTAGCCTTGAATACACTTTGTCATATAAAATAATGGGTTATTGCAATCTCATGCCTTGTTTTTCTTCCAGCCGTCCATCCTTCCGCGTCAAATGTGCGCGGCTTAGACAATGGTTACGCCGCCGTGCGCGCAGGGTTGGTTCTCCGACCAGGCGGATACAATATGACATCCAAAAATCAGGGGAAGTGAAATATTATACTAATGACGATCCTCGCAATCGATATCGCATGACAAGCTGTGGACCGAGTTTGGCGTTCCCACTCTTCACAACGTTCTGGTCATCCACTCAGACATACGCTGTGTTGGGCTGGAGAAGAATATACTAACTTTTACATTTTACTTTTTACTTCGCACTAAAAGTTTAAAATCGTGGCCCATCGTTGCAAAATCGTAACCCATCGCAGACCACCGTTGAAATGCCGCAGGTACTCGCAAACGACCCACCATCAACAGTCATCACCCGTCACCCTCCGGACAAATTTGGCAATCCGTCGTTGCACCAAGGTCGTTACAATTTCGTTATTTGCCGCAATGTGGCGTCAGGGTTCGAGATGTGACGTCACTTGCCGTTGTTTTGCCGTCAATGGTCGTTGGCAACGACTACCAACGAAATTGTGACGACATCAAAACGACTAGAGACGGAATCGGACGGCATGGAAACATCACGAAAATGAGGGTTGCGGTCCTTAACAAGCTGCTCTCTTATCTTGCGATCTCAATCCCCTACTAGCTGCAAGCCGAAGATGGCTTGATCCACAAATATTTACGATCAGCATTAAAAATTCGCCTGGCAAATAGGCTAGATTCTGTATAAGTGAAAACACGGGAGAAAGTATAGAAATCTATTGAAAAATTGGGTACTTCATGAAAAAAAATAACTCCCACTGTAAAACTAAACTTGATAGAGTTTGCCGCCACACTATTGAAGTATACAACGTATGGTTGTTGTGATATATCTAATATTACAAAAAAACGGAATTTTACACGCCACTGCTTTGGATTTATTTGTTTTGTTTGTAATAGTGGAGGTGTCATGGTCATGTGGACATGTAACCGTACTGTGGGTCACATGGTTTGCAGTTCAAATCACGCCGCGACACTAACATCCTTTGCAAGATATTGAAGCCCGTCTGCACTAGTTTGGCCAGGGGGATTAGACCTCCCTGCAAGGTCACTGGCAGGTGGTTATCTCATCAACAGAGGGCGCAAGTAGCTATAAGTAGTGCAGTGCGGCTTCAATCTACAATCTACATTTGCTATTCACAAAGGGAAATTTGAGTTGGTATCGCGGTACGTTCACTTGGTCAGCTCTCTGTCTTCGCCTTCAAACTTATTTAGACTGGCCCCGGTTCGAAACTGAGTCACGTTTTTCTGATGGTGAAGTTAATACACGTCTGTACACACAAAAATGAACACATACATACACATCATCCTCTTCTGCCCAAATCAGCATTTCTCGAAATGTGAACCCTCCGGGCCACAGCTTCTTGGCTGTTCCGAGTCATTTCTCACAAGAACGGGTTTCAAGAGGCGGTAGTAGAACGGTTTACAGCGTCGAAAACCCCCCAAGACCTCACGCTATTATTATATTAAGTTCCCATATATATTTATATGTTTGTATACATTTATACAATATAGACAGAGAGGAAACAGGACAAGTTTACCCCTACATTTCAGATAATACTGAAGAAAAATATGCAAAAAAGGAATACATTATCGTGCAACCTAAAACGGTTGAGTAATATTTGGAGGGATATCTTCTGTGACTTAGCACATACTCAAACGCTTACAATGAATAATTCATTGGATTAGCAATTGTCATTAGTATGATAATAATGATAATAATGATAATAATGATCTTTTAAAGTCCACTCCAAATTTGATGCTTTAACTACAAAAAAAACTTTGTTAAATTTTGTATATTGAAACATACTTTATGAAAGACAACAACGGGGTTATACAAAAAAATCTTTGGCAGCCCATTTTGGGGTGAACGAAAACTTGTTTGGCATGTAACTCATTATATTACAACGCTTAAGTCTTGAATGATAAGGTAGAAGACAGTACCTTTGTGGGTTTCCGTATTCCCATACATCTAGCATCTTTCTATCGTCTTGATCAGGCATGGAAACCTGAACACTGGAAACAGATATAGCGACTTTCAAACTTAGAGTCGTTAGCTGGTGGAGGGTCCAACGCCACCATAACCCTACTATATGCTGTAGTGGCGATTCATTACACTGCAGCTGGATGAAGGTAGCTACTTGCAGCCCTTGGTTACCGACAGGCCAGATCTGCGAGGGTACTATGTTCTATATGAGGTACGAAAAATGGGCCCGCTTACACTTTGTGTAAGCCTTCTGCGTAAGGTAGGAAATTCGAGAGATTATTATAACTGGCTAGTCTAGTCTGTGTATACCAGTGATTGGACGTTACATGTTCTATGGCAAGCACACATTAAAAACACGAAAGAAGACTAATGATGAATATCAATGCCAGAGACGCAGAACATCCACATTTTCGCAGAATCATAACCATGAAAATAAACAAAAAATAGATAAATTTATTTCTAGAATCACTAATGATATGTTATATTCCAAATTTCTATTTCAGGTTTAAATTTGTCTATTAAACGGTGTGGATACCTTACTTTGTAAATATTTTCCTAGGAAATATCGCTGTTCCACCATGAACAAAGTTAGTCGAAAGGAATTGGAAAGTTTTCCATGATACATACCACCATTTCCACACTAGCGAAATAATGAATACTCACATTCCATCAACGACAAGATTAACTCATAGAGGTTTTTATTTTTGCCACTTTCGAACCATTGGTAATTTGTTGTTATTTACACAGTCTCATCTAAATGATGCTTAGTGCGCGCGCCCGTATTCGCGGCTTCACCATAATAGATATTCATTGATTTTAAAAACAAACATTACTTTCATTATTGTAAAGTTGAAACTTTGATTCGACAAGGTTATCAAAATTCAATGCTTGGAAACATTCGAAGTAATGATTATTATAAATTACAAAACGCTTAAATACAGCCCCGGCATAGCACCTGAAGAGCTCTCCGAACGCTGCTGAGATGTGTGAGATCACAGTATGGACATGATTTGCACAAGCAGACGATGTCCCATGACATCTCACACATTTTTAATGCCTGTGTTTTCATCTTCCCTTGAGTTCTTTCTCTTACTTCACTACCGTCAGGCTAAATGTATAATCTATTGCCTCACTTTAAACCCCGCGCATGGTTTCATTTTGATGACAAATGTAGCGATACAAAAATAAAGGAATCTGTCGCTTGTAAACAAAATAAGACGCCATTGTATTATTCAGCTGCACACACCGCGGTATGTTCGGCGTTTCAAGAGGGAACAAATGACGTCCTTAATATCATTCCGGTGGTTTTTCAATTTGAAAGTATAGTTTCTTTGATTGTTAATTAACCCCTATCCTGTGTATTTACAAGCAAAAGATTTTAGTTATCAGAATCGGGTCATATCCCCTTTTGAATGGTTTGACATGCCATTACATTTTTCAACTCAAAGTCCAATCACACAGTCGTAGCCTGCGCAGTTCCACAGATAAATTATTGTTTCAGATTCCCCATGACAAAACTAAAGTAACTCTTGGGGACCGTGCTTTTGCTATTACTGCCCCCAAACTATGGAATAGCTTGCCAATAGAAATACGAAGCACTCCATCTCTCAATGTTTTTGAATCCAATTTAAAAACTTATTTGTTCAACTGAGTGATCTTATTTGTATAAAAGCGGCGCTATATGAATTTATTATTATTATTATTATTATTATTATTATTATTATTATTATACATTAAACTCATTATAATTTGACAAAAAATAGCTTTGCAATTATGTTCATTCTTTATGGGATGTCGTCTGCTTGGGCAGTATTGGTCCATATAGTGACGTCATTAAAACATCGTTATTTTTCCGGCGAATTTCTCGTATATCCCAGCTGCTATGGAGGTGGTTTTATTTGTATTTTTATAAATCACCCGATTTGTAGTTGACCTAAAACTTGTACGATGGCCATCTGTTAGCTTACCAGTTTTTAGTGATACATTAGTTGACATATTTATAATTTTCTTTAAATTTCACCTTTAATAAAATTATCTATCAAATAGTAGAGGAATTCATTACTAACCAATACATTTTGGCTCGGATCTCGCCAGTGCGGAAAGGGTCGAGTGTCTAGTTTCTTTACACCAGTCGTTTCTGGTATCCTCGCCCGAGATCTTGCCAAAAGCCTCCATGATAAAACACAAAATGACTACAATGCCAATATTATCATGATTATGAATTACTTGAATGTAAAAAGTGTAAATCTCCTTTGCTTTGTCCGATTTTTCTAAAAATCTACAAACCTACATTATATTGTTTATTTTCTGCTATTTCTACGGAGAGTTCCTTTCCCTGTAAAAGAAATACGCTTTCAAGAAGGAAATCCTCGCGTGTTCAAGAAATATGGGAAGTCTAAGTGTTGGTTCCCTAGCGATGCCTCTGCTATTTCTCACAGTTTTACGATCCCTACAATCTGGTTTATATCTATAAAATATTCAAATAAAACAATGGGCAATAGATAAGTTTTACAAAAGGGTTAATTCTTCGGAGCTTTCTTTGTTGCACATTTGGGAAAATGTGTGATAAAATACAGTTCTGCGGAAACCTATCGACAGACTTCTACATAGACATACGTCTTTTAAATGGCTCCAAAAATGCTAAAAGGGGATCGTGGATGACCGCTTGTGGTCGTTACTGGTATTTGCTCCAATCAACGGTAGTTTGCAAGATGCTGAGGTTCGACGGTGCCCTGGATTCGCCACGATCGGCTAGGTTTGGTCAGGGTTCTGGTGACATTCTTTACGTCGATTGTTTTGGAACAGAAGACAGCCTGGCAGACTGTTTCAGTGGAGTCGACTCTTCCTGTGGGCATCACAGGGATGCGGGCGCCGTGTGTTACTCAGGAGGTACGAACTCTTTTGGACATGAGGAAAGGACCAGTCGGATTTTGTAATCGAATACTGTTAACATCACATAGAGGGGCTGCGGGGGGAGGGGGTGATTCTGAGCTTATTTAGTTATATATAGACTTATACTAATTATTATCTGGAAAACCATTTTGTTAGGAAAGAGTACAATGTGTGCATTTAGAAATGTAATAGTAAAGGCCTTTTCACATTTTGTGCAAAATAACATTAATCTCCTATCGCTGTTAAGGACCCGTACACATTATAATGTATGCGCATTTAGTTCATTTGAGTTCATCAACATTTCTTGTTCATTTAGCCCACCCGAATCCTATGGAGGTTCGTCTGATTGGTGGCGCCAACGAAGCTGAAGGCAGAGTAGAAGTACTGTACGATGGACTATGGGGAACTATCTGTGACACTTGGTGGGATCTGAGAGACGCGAGGGTGGTTTGTAGAATGCTTGGGTTTAATGGAGCATTGGACGCACCGAGATCTGCTAGGTTTGGTCAGGGCTCTGGTCGTATTCTGCTAAATCTTGTCGGCTGTGATGGATCAGAAGACAACCTGGCAGACTGTGCTCATGCAGGGATTGAACGTTACATCTGCAGTCCTAGAAGAGATGCTGGAGCCATTTGCTACTCAGGAGGTATGTTTTTCTCTTACTCGCTTAATCAACCATTTAAAAATGAACACTTTCTTAATAAGATGAACATATAGAATAACCCAAAGCTTAGTGAATTCAAATTCAATATAACATCTTACATCTTACTCCATTTGCCAATGATTTAAATCCAAATACCTGGAATTCAGCGCCCTACCCTAAAGAAGGACTTTTCTTTTTTAGTTAGAAAATTTGTATTCTTTAGCCTGATCTTTAGACAAAATATTATTGTTGTTTCAGCAGAAAAGCCGAAAATCTGACATGAGAATTCATGTAAATTGTTCCATACGTCATTATTACAAAAATTAATTCGTCGATTGTAGGATTTCTTACTACAAATAATCATTCTACAAATATGCTCTCCCTAAGCGGTATATATGGCATTCCTATTCCCTTGTAGCCCATCCAACCCCATTACAAATTCGTTGGATTGGTAAAACAAATGACACTGAGATACTTTCACCCCCTCCAACTACACGTTTATCTGTACTTGACAGGTGGCAGGTAAATTTACGCTTCCAAAAGTTAAGATTTTTGTCAAATGTTGAAAATTGGCACAGCTAATTTGGGGCGCGGTATTAACATTATACCGGTGAAAATAATATTAAAGGCTTATTTCCAACAGCGTAAAAATGACGATGACATTCTCTTCTTTCTTTCTTTTAATCTAGTAGTACACCCTTTACAGAGCTGTTTATACATTACATTGTATAGCGGGGTAAGAATTACGACATCCTGAAATTTGGTTAAGCCATGGATTCATTGCGAACGACCTTGAGAAAACTGTTGCTTTCATTATATAAAAACATACTTTCTAATGCTATTTACCCGGCGTTTTGAATGTCCCCTACAAGTGCCGCCCGGGTCAATTTTAGTTCCAGGAGGGCATATGTTATATCGTTAGAAATGCATGTGCTAACTTCGAGGGGTTGCTTTTTTCAGAGCTCAGAGGCAACATTAAATATCACTCATAAAAGCCAGATTTGACTTGTACTTAGGCATGTGTGTGTGCGTGTGTGTGTGTGGGGGGGGGGGATCAGCAATGAACAAAGCAAACAAATATTATATAGAACTATTTATCGAAAAAAGGCATGTATATTGACAGGAATGAGGAAAAAAGAACGCCACAAAAAGGGGTGACTTTACGTCAGGACACTTCTTCTGTCACAGAAAGGACATTGTGTTGTTCTCTTAGGATTTGTAGCAGGGCAGCATTTTCTTGATATATTATGTTCACCTACATGCCAAAATGGTATAAAAAACTGTTATCAGACAAGCAACCAAACTACTTTTACAAGTTTACTTGAAAAAATGCTAAGTTTAATAATGAATTGAAATTGACTCGGCATTGCTAAAAAATAACAACAATTTTAATCCTCAAGTCCAAGGCCAAGACAATAAGAAAAAATGGGTCTAATGGCGTCTTAACCCTAAAAAGGCCGGGCTATTTGAGGTCTTAGTACGGCCGGGGGGGGGGGGGCAATATGTCCCCCTTAAGATCTCCGCGAAAAATTGAACGCATGTCAAGTGAAGTGTATAGAATACTACGATAATTTCAATTTTTTGAAAAATTCTCTCATTTGCATATTTATGGTAATTTATGCAAAAAAGGTCATACATTTTATTACTCATTAATCATATATTATTCATATTTATGCATTCTTTTTCACTACATATATAAATTAGACCATTTGGAATAATAGTACGACAAAAAAATTGGATCAGTCAGCTTATTCCTTATGTTATCTGTTGTTTTGAAATTTTCTAATGTATTTCATTGTTTTGATAATTTCTCATGTATTTTATTGTTTTTGTTTTTTTATTTCATTTCTAACTACAATTTAACTATTTTGACTCCCAAAACAACCACCTCAACTTTAAACTAGACACAATAACCAATGTTCGATCTATTTTTAGGAAAAAAGACATTTCCAAATGTTTTGTACACAAATCACGAAATTGAGCGATTTTCGGGCTGACATGCAAAGACAAAAGGTCACGTGACCTTGTAACTGTAGGTCCGATTAAAAAAAATATATATTTTAAAAGATGCGCAAGACTCGAAAGAAAAAGGTCAGCGAGCGGCGGGGCGCCATTTATATGCGTTCCCGAACAATCAGAACAATCGTGTAGGGGGTGGGGGCATAATGGCCCCCGGCCTTAAGCCAATGCACTTGAAGACTGATATATACATAGGCATAGCTTTGATATGACATGGTTCTTTACATTTAAAAAGAGATGCTCGTATTAATTTTTTTTAAATTGTGTTTACACTTTTCATAAATGATATCAAAACGTAATACATTTTCTTGAAAACATGCGTTTTCGCGATGTAATCATTTCCAAAAAAGTTGCTTAACCTGTTAGTAAATATTGTATCCTTACACTACTAAAAACGATTTTTTTTTTTTTTTTTTTTTTTTTTTTTTAAACTCATGTTTAGCCCATCCGAATCCATTTCAAGTTCATCTTGTCGGTGGATCTAACGATGCTGAAGGCAGAGTTGAGGTCATGCATGAAGGATCCTGGGGAACTATCTGTGATGACTGGTGGGATCTGAGAGATGCGAGGGTGGTTTGTAGAATGGCAGGGTTTGATGGAGCCTTGGACGCACCGGGATCTGCAAGGTTCGGTCAGGGCTCTGGTCGTATTCTGCTAAAGTATGTCAATTGTGACGGAAATGAAGACAACCTTGCAGACTGTGCTCATCCAGGGATTAGAGATTATACTTCATGCGGTCATACAAGGGATGCAGGAGCCATTTGCTACTCAGGAAGTATGTTTCCCTCTCCCACATAACCAAGTATTTGTAACTGACCATTCTGTTAATTGCATGATTATGAGAAGAACATGAACAACTCGAGATAAGTGAATTAATAATCAATATTTCATTTTACTTGAAGTGCAAATGGTTTAAAGACAAACAAATTAAAATTCAGCCCCCTCCCCGAGAACAAATCATAGTCTTATCTTACTTTCATTGTATGGCAATCAAATGCAACCACACTATATTTTGTAATTCTATAGCCAGACGTATTTTCTTTAGTATTCATGTTCCAGCATAAATTATTTTTTAGCAAATATTGCGGGTCTGGTGGATCAGGATAATTCTTTGAATCTTATCGCATACCTAAATAAGTTGATAATTTGTTCCTTACTACAAATAATATTTTTTCATTTTTTTTAAACACTTAGATATAAAACTATTATGACATCAGCCAAAATACGATCCCAAATGCGGTATATATGTCTTTCCTATTCACGTGTAGCCCATCCAAATCCATTCCAAGTTCGTCTTGTCGGTGGGTCTAACGATGCTGAAGGAAGATTAGAGGTACTGAACGATGGATCCTGGGGAACTATCTGTGACAACAGCTGGGAACTGAGAGACGCGAGTGTAGTTTGCAGAATGATGGGGTTTAATGGAGCCTTGGACGCACCGACAACTGCTAGTTTTGGTCAGGGCTCTGGTCGTATTCTGCTAAATTATGTCAGCTGTAAGGGAACTGAAGACAACCTGGCAGAATGTGCTCATGCAGGAATTGGACGTTACTTATGCAGTCATACAAGGGATGCAGGAGCCATTTGCTACTCAGGAAGTATGTTTTCTCTCTATTTGTGGAAAAGTGTTACTAATTTTAAGTTTCATATTAAACCCGCTTTTCACAACCTACTACATATATATATATATATGTGTGTGTATGTTGTCGATTTCCTCGACATACATGTAAAAAGCTGGTGCTCAAGCAAATCGAGCTTATTGATAAAGAGGGTCTTGAAGCGCTCTTTAGCAAAGCTTGATTTGGAGTTTGCATTCAAATTTGCTTAATAAATCATGTAGGAAAAGCGTTAATCTGTTTTGCACGGTATTTTAGTATTATCAGGAGATATATCACATACTTTTCAATTTTTTTTTTCAATTCATTTTATTCCATTCATCATATAAAAACATACATAATTATAACATTGATATATACAGATAAGTAAGGAACACACAAATAACATAACGAAAGATAAACATAAAATACAAATATATATACGAATGAGGAACCAGCAAGAAAGAACAATTAAGTCTTATTTAGGGCTGGTCCCTTGTGACATAAAAAGAATTTTAACCTATAACACTTAACACTTTACAGCTAACACCTAACAACTAACACCTAACATCTAACACCTGATTGCATTTATATATATATATATATATATATATATAAAAATGATAAAATACTATTCATAAAAACGTAGTTTTTTGTATCTCATTTTAAATGTATTCAGAGTTGGGCTTGATTTAACACTAGAAGGTAACTCATTCCATAAAATTGGTCCTTTAAAGAAAATTGAATTTTTAGAGACAGAAGTTTTAATAAGTGGTAAATGAAAATGAAATGATTGCCTAGTTCCATATGAATGTATTTCAGAATTCAAAATAAATTTGTTTGAAAGACTATGAGGGATAATACCTTTATGACATAAAAACATAAATATAACAATATTATAGTCATTAAATTCAAATACATTAAAACATTTAAAACGGACAAAAATAGGTTTTGTATGGGTAAGATAATGGGATCCCGAGATAATACGTATTGCCTTCTTTTGTAATTTATATAGTCTATTCATACAATAATCTTTTGAATTTGCCCAAACAATATTGCAATAATTTAATTGTGATAAAAACAATGCATGGTATATCATTAATAAAATCTTATAAGGGAAATGTTTAAATTTGTATAAAATACCAACTACTTTCGAGAGTTTATTACAGATTGCTTTATTATGAACGTGCCATGACATTTTATAATCAATTTGAATTCCTAAAAATGTCAATGAGTTACAACGCTGTACAACATTTCCATTAATCTTTACTTCAATATCATCAGTTACGATGTTTTTGTTTGTAAAAATTATATAATTAGTTTTCTTTACATTTAAGATTAATTTATTAATATACAACCATTGAGAAATATTTTGAAGCTCATCATTAAATCTTATCACTAGTCTATCTAAATCGTTATCAGACAAAAATAAACTTGAATCATCGGCATACAATATACATTGTAATATTTGTGAAGCCTGAGTAATATCATTCATATATACAAGAAATAATAAGGGTCCCAATATCGAGCCTTGAGGTACTCCACATCCTATGGTTTTAAAATCAGATTTAATTTTATTAAAAAGAACATATTGTTTTCGGCTTGTTAAATAGCTTTCAAACCATTTTAACAAAACACCTCGTATTCCATAATTGAACAATTTATCTAAGAGAATTTTATGATCCAACGTATCAAATGCCTTACTAAGATCGGGAAATATTCCTAACATAATTTGTTTATTATCTAAGGCATTTGAAACTTTATAAACAAAATCAATTAGTGCAGAGGATGTGAAATGACCAGCTCTAAAACCATATTGACTATCCGATAATAAATTACATTGGTTCAAAAAATATATCAGTCTATTATAAAAACATTTTTCTAAGATTTTTGAAAATACTGGCAAGACTGATGTTGGCCGATAATTACTCATTGTATCGAAAGATCCATTTTTGTATACAGGAATAACTTTTGCTATTTTTAACTTTTCCGGAAAAATACCTTGATTCATAGATTCATTAAAAATACGTCACAGCGGATAGCATATAATGTGAACAACCCTTTTAACGATGAAAATATCAATTTCATCATAACCAGCGCTTGATTTGCTTTTCAAGTCACAAACAATATCTATAATTTCTTTAGTTGTAATAGGCTTAAAAAAAGGCAGATGTCATAATTTTTAAAAGGGGAATTGATATTAATACTATGAAATATTAGGGGAAGGTAAAGAATTGTACATAGAATTATGATTTATTTGACTTTTCAGCCTTTGAAAAAAAAATAAGCAGAAAAACATATCTCTCTGCACACATGCTTTCTATGGAAAATCCGGGTACGTGAATATACTCTTTCCCGGACGTGATGTCATATATAGTAGACCAGCGCCGTGACTGATTTTCTATGCAAAGAGAGGCGGATATTTTCGACATTTCAATTAAGGATTTTGTTGTGATATACTATGTAATTGAAAAACATATAAATAGCATATGCTTGCCGTATGTAACAAATTAAGGGACATTTATTTGCTTAGAATATCAGCTTTAAATACGGGTGGTGCGGATGTCAGAGGACACATAGTTTAGTATACCACACGGCAACCGGCCGGGCGCCTTGAGGTCCCCGGCCGGGCTCGGCAGGTCACCTTCCGGGAGCCATGGGTGCACCTGCTCATCGGACGGAGCGCGTAAGCTCATCGGCAGACACCCTGCCGGCACCCATATGGGCGCCTTGCATTTCACCGGGCACCTCCCGGGCGCCGCAGAATATGTGACCACACATGCCGTAGAAATGAAAATCGGAAGGTTCCCGTACAGTCTCTTAATCCACGGTAAGCCGCCGGGTAGGGAAAATCGCATGGGCCCCGGTTTATATGTGACCTAGGCATTCCCCGGCTGGCTAGGTCTCGCAAGAGTGTTGTACTATGTTCTATAATAGGTATGAGAAATGGTCCCGTCTCTTGTACCGACAGCTCTTTACTAAATGTCTAAAGGATTCCTGATCCTGCTGATTGTAGCTAGATTGAAGGGTCCCGCATGCTTACACTTTTGTCCATGCGTTCCGCGTAAGGTAGGGATTACAATTGTCAGCAGTCTGGAAACTAGGTTAACCGCTGTCCCCTCCAAAAAAAGGTCCAGCATCGCGCCTGTTGGGTATCACAGTTTCACGACCAAATGACCTGATTTGTAGTCATATTTTCAAATAATAACGAGGGGCAACGAATCCGTTTCAGAAAAAAAGGTCAATTCTCAATTTCGTTCTGCGTCACAATGAACTACTTTGGATAATAAACAATTAAATGCAATTTTTCGGAACCTCATCGACAGACTTCTATTAGATAAACGTCTTATAAATTGCTCCAACAATGTTGAAGGAAGAGTCGAGGTCTTGTACGGTGGATCGTGGATGACCGTTTGTGGTAATGTCTTCTGGAATCTGTTCAACGCAAGAGTAATATGTAGAATGCTGGGGTTCGACGGTGCCCTGGTCGCTCCACGATCGACTAGGTTTGGTCAGGGTTCTGATGACATTCTTTACGTCGATTGTTTTGGAACAGAAGAGAGTCTGGCCGACTGTTTCATTCTGGTTTACTCTTTATGTAGGGATCGCAAGGATGCAGGCGCCGTATTTTACTCAGGTGGTACGAACTCTTTTGGACATGAGGAAACGACTAGTCGTAATTTTTAATGGCATAATGTTAAAATCGCAACAACAAAAAGAATTTAGCTTATGAGGTCATAAATATTGACAAACATGCAGTCCTATTGCTTTTAAGAACAGATTTCGTTTTTGCAATGACGAATATCGTCATTGCCTTGTTTTCGTTCACGTTCTTCCCCATTAATATTCTTCTTCTTTGCAGAAAATCGCATTCGTTTTGCACGTAGTGTTTGTTATTCCTAGTTAGGTGCTTTCCCTATGTCCATTTCCTTTCAAATTTCATGGGCATGGTCTCTATCATCTCATCAAGGTCACCTATTTTTTTCGATTTTCGAAATCACTCATGCATAACCATCCAGGCGCCATTTTGTCCGTTTCTGGTCCATTTTAAGGCTTTTCTTTCTTCCTTCCTATCTCCACTATCCTAGATCCTACAAACTTCTAACAAATTCCTTTAGATAGTCTAAGAGCTGTTCTTTCCTCTGCAACGTATAACTTGACCTTCAAAATGCCATCTTCGTACTCAAAATTCAAATCTGAAACCGACTCCGTCAAAAATCTTTAAAATTCTTGAGAAATTGAACCCTAAAAATCTAGAATTGCAATAACTTTTTTTTTACCCATTCCGTTTCGTCTCATTTTATTGCAGTATGTTTATCTCATAATTGCACATAGCCATGCCAAATTTCACACTCAAATGGCTATGCATAAAATAAATAGCGCCCTCTAAAATTCTGGGAATTGGCTTTCTTTCTGTGGCCGTATCTCTATTGTGTCTTGGCAAACCCGTACCCTTTTTGGGATTTAGATACTTGAACATATGCCCTTTCCAGCCATAAACAAAATTATATACCCTAACATTGACCAACTTTGCGAAAAATGCCCTCCAAATATGCAGTTTTCAAGAAAATTGATAAATAACTTCAACTTGCTCTAAAATTACGATCCTTATGCCTACGTCAATGAAACTTTAGCGAACACATGTATCCATATACGTGACAACTGTCTGCTAAGTTAAAGTAATATTCGATTACATCAGCGTAAAGTTATCGCTAAAAATGATGAATTTACTATGCATTACGTATTAGCGCGTTTCATGCGTGCAGTACATTGCGCACAGATGACAATGGTGTCAAACTGACCGCAATGAAGTGCCCTTTCGGATGATACCAAGTATGATATAAGTTCACACACAAACTTGTGAGTTAATCGCATTTTAGACACCATATCATACTGTTTATAATTATGTTAGTATAGACGACCGTTAGTGCCAAATCACCCGTCATTGCACGGATATCGTTGTGCCACGATTGCAGGTCTAGTTTTTAAATCAAACTGTATGATACCAGGGAGGTGATAGAGAAGGAGTGAAATCAAACCGCTCTCCCTCGACCCCACGCTCCAAGCCGCCGAAAAAGTTATGCGCTAATCTGCAACTGTTGACCAGGTGGTGAGATAAAAGAGCGCATGAAATATCAGGATTTAGAATTCCTTCATTAAAAAATGGTATATCAGCAAATGTTCGCTGTCCCGTTCAATGATTTCTCATCAATTATTGAATGTGTAATGAGTAGAACAAGCGAACAGAAACTTTTGTACTTTCATTTTTTTTTCCAACTGCAAAAATACAAAAAGCACGCATTAGCAAACTTAAAGTTACCGAAGATTGTAAATCGTGGCTTTAATGACGGACATTGTAACATGCAAAAATAATCGGATTATCCTTAAATATTAAGTTTCTGTCAGGATCAAATTTTTCCATTTACATATACCTACTCTTGCACACACATTTTTAGGAAGGACGGAGTACTAAATTTCGAAAATGGTTTGATGCACTATTTCCATTACAATTCCCATATAAAGTTTATAATTTACACTGAGATTTTGACGGTAAATTTAATAATGAATGTGAAACTTGTGCCTAGCCTTCGAAAGTCCCCGCAGTGGAAGAGCGGCTCGGAGCATGGAACTTCAAAGTCAAGTGGAATGTTACGCATCCCATTGTTGCGCTTTAAAACTCACACATGCGTTTGAATAAATTACAAGAGTTTCCACTCCTTCTCTATCACTTCCCTGATCTAATGATGTTTTTCATGTTCCAAGTTTGATGGTAGTCTGTCCATCGGTTTTAATGATAATGTGATCACGAGCTTGTTTTGCATACATAATGAGTCCTGAAACCTTTGACCTTGTGACCCCCAAATCTAATCAGTTCATAAGCTCTACAAGATACATACATGACCTAAGTTTGGCAGGAATCCATCCATCGGTTTTTGAGATAACGCGATCACAAGCTATTTTTGCATACATAATGAGCCCTGAGACTTTTCCCTCTGACCTCGTGAACCCAAAATCTAATTAGTTCATTAGCTCTGCAAAAAAAAAATACATGACTATAGCTTGGCAGGAATCCGTCAATCGGTTCTTGAGAGAACGCGATCGATCACAAACGAGAACGGAATGTACAGACGGACAACCCAAAAACATAATGCCTCCGGCTATATGGAGGCACACAAATGCCGAAACACTTTTGTTATCATTAATTTTGGTTAAAAAGGGAATTTTAGAGAACATTATGTGTGACGTCACATTTCTTAAACTGCTCAATGCTAACAGAGTGTCAACAATTGGATTCTCCGACTTGATGGTCAGAGGAACAATCCAGCCCCCCCCCAAAAAAAAATAAAATAAAAAATAAATAAATAAAATAAAATAAAAAAAATAAAAAAAAAATAAAAAAAAAAAAAATAAAAAAAAAATAAATAAATAAAATAAAATAAAATAATAATAATAAATAAATAAAATTTAAAAAATAGACCCTAAAACTTTGTATTTAGATATTAAACGAAAATGTGTATTTGGTAAGTATATATATCAGTCTTCTCTTCTTAAGAAAGAAATATGCGCCGCATTAACTAATTTCCTTGTCAATATATATACTTATTTCATGATACGTAGGCATTTGCTCTCGAGGATTGTTGGCTATTAAAGACCTCTGTGTTTTAACCATAAAATGTAAACCATTTTGGTCAAAATCTGCATATTTCAGGAGAAAAATCTTTTCACCCTCTGGTTCTCCCCCACAGATCCATTTAAAGTTCGTCTTGTCGGTGGGTCTGACGATGCTGAAGGCAGAGTAGAGGTACTGTACGATGGATCCTGGGGAACCATCTGTGATTCGTGGTGGGACCTGAGAGACGCGAGGGTGGTTTGTAGAATGCTGGGGTTTGACGGAGCCTTGGGCGCGCCAAGATCTGCTAGGTTTGGTCAGGGCTCTGGTCGAATTCTGCTTAAGAATGTCAACTGTGAGGGAACAGAAGACAACCTAGCAGAGTGTGTTCATGAAGGGATTGGACGTCACTCATGCAGTCATACAAAGGATGCAGGAGCCATATGCTACTCAGGTATTTTGTGTTTCTTTTTTCTCTCTCTATACGTGTCAATGGCATGCTTATTAAATAAACATAAACAAATCCAAGAGCTAAGGGACTTAAAACTCAATATTGCATCTCCTTCGATGTGCCAATCATTTAAACAATAAAGTGTTCTTGGTTAGTTTATATCTGCAGAGTTTTTTCTCTTCTTAAGAAAGAAATTTGGGCTGTATTAACTAAATTCTTTGTAATACTATCTTCACTTATTTCGGGACTCATAGTCATTTACTCACGAGGATTGTGTTCCAACAATAAAGTTTGCACTCTCTTGGTCCAAATGGGACATGGCAAAGCTTTGCAAATTTCAAAAGAAAAAATAATTCACCCTCTGGTTCTCCCCCACAGACCCATTTAAAGTTCGTCTTGTCGGTGGGTCTGACGATGCTAAAGGCAGAGTAGAGGTACTGTACGATGGATCCTGGGAAACTATCTGCGATACTTGGTGGGATCTGAGAGACGCGAAGGTGGTTTGTAGAATGCTGGGGTTTGATGGAGCCTTGGGCGCGCCAAGATCTGCTAGGTTTGGTCAAGGATCTGGTCGTGTTCTTCCAAGAAATGTCAACTGTCAGGGAACAGAGGACAACCTGGCAGACTGTACTCATGGCCAATTGGGATATCATACTTCATGCGGACATGCCAGGGATGCAAGCGTAATTTGTTTTTCTGGAGGTAAGTGTCTAAATGCTGAGTTGATCTTTAAAGTCAGCATGGAGCTGTAAAATCTCAGTCGATTTGCCAATCATATAAACGAAAATATGTATTTGGTAAATATATAGCTGGAGAATGTTTCTCTTCTTAAGAAAAAAATGTAGGCTGTATTAATACTTTCCTTGTCACTATCTACACTTATTCCGGGACTCTTAGGCATTTGCTCTCGAGGATTGTGGGCTAAAAAAAAAAAAGCTTCGATGTTTTTTCACCGGAAAGTTTGCACCCTTTTGGTTTAAATGTGACATGGCAAAACTCTGCATATTTCAATAGAAAAATCCTTTCACCATCTGGTTCTCCCCCATAGATCCTTTTACAGTTCGTCTTGTCGGTGGGTCTAACGATGCTGAAGGCAGAGTAGAGGTCATGCATGATGGATCTTGGGGAACTATCTGTGATGTTGACTGGGATCTAAGAGACGCGAGGGTGGTTTGCATAATGGCAGGGTTTGATGGAGCCTTGGACGCACCGGGATCTGCTAGGTTTGGTCAGGGCTCTGGTCGTATTTTTCTCGCTAATGTAGATTGTGAGAGAACAGATGACAACCTGGCAGACTGCGCTCATGAAGGAGTTGGAGATTATACTTCATGCGGACATGCGAAAGATGCAGGTGTCATTTGTTATTCCGGCGGTAAGTTTCTCTGGTCCGTATTCTACAGCATTTTTGTTTGAGTCATTCTATAAAGAACTGTTCAGACTTGAACAACTTCATCCGAAATTTAAAGAAATTTCGGCTTAATATATATCTGTAGAGCTTTTCTCCTTTATTTCATATTGTAACATATGGGCAAATTCAAAAAGCAACGTTGACGCCATTTCCTGTTACAAAAGAAAGCCATGGGTATATGTACTGATTATTTATATCGCAACCACACCAATCCCTTATTTTCAAATCTAAAAGCTTCAAAAGCTGATGATATGAATATTCTACAGATAGACCTTTTCATGTTTCCTTTAAAAATGGTCTACTACCTTCATACTTTCCCCTTTTGTTTAATCTGAATAAAACCAACCACTCTTACCCTACAAGGTAAACTGAAAAATTCCATTTAAGAAATCCAAAACCGCATTGGCTCTCAAATCCATTAAGGCCCGGTCACACAGAGGGGACGCATGGGGAATGGCCAGCGCATAGGAAATTTGCAATTTTGGCCACTGCGTTGTCGTGCGCCCAACTTTGTCGAAGCTACAGCGAGCTGACACCAAATGCACAGCGTGTTGCTAGCGCGCTGTGCTCCGCTTATGTCTGGCGCTGGTCTAGCGCGCTCCACGCATGTCTGGCGTGCCTTTGGAGTGTACGTTCATGCGTCGAGCTCCGCGCACACTTTTGAGCATGCTCAAAAAATCCCGACGCACACAGCGAATGACGACGAATGCATAGCGTGGGTCCAGCGCGCTCGACGAACGAGTAACGAATGATGACGCACGCCTAGCGAACGACAACGCACTGGCCCAAATTGCAAATTTCCAATGCGCTGGCAGTGCGTCCCCCATGCGTCCCCTCTGTGTGACCGGGCCTTTAGACACACCGGCCCAGACATCTGGAACTCTCTGCCCATTGTAATAAGACACCTTTTTAGGACATTGCATTCTTTTAAGAAGGCAGTTAAAACTATGTTATTGTCTAGGTATTGATCCTGTCGTGTGTAATTCTACTGTATTCATGGTCGTGTGTACAGTGACTTTATACTCAACAATTATGTGTAATCGTCCATGACCTAGCATCGTTTATCCATCCATGAATAAACCTGCATTCAATCAGCAGATGTATTAGATTTTTGTATTATTACAGAAAACCGACGCTCCTTCTTTCCCCTTTCCTTTCCTTCTCTGCAAGTCACTTAAAAAAAAAAATGTTATTGTTGTATCTTAGTTGAAGGTTGCGGGCACGTCAAGCTACTTGATTTCGTTTCTTATCTGTATAAAATTATGTACACTTAAACTATTGAAACCAATAAATCATATAAAATCAAATCAAATCTTGACCCTTTAGATCCATTTCAAGTTCGTCTTGTCAGTGGATCTAACAATGCTGAAGGAACAGTAGAGGTACTTTACGATGGATCTTGGGGAACTATCTGTGATGACTGGTGGGATCTAAAAGACGCGAGGGTGGTTTGCAGAATGCTGGGATTTAACGACACATTGGCTGCACCTATTTCTGCAAGGTTTGGTCAGGGATCTGGCCAAAGTCTTCTGACATATGTTGGTTGCAGGGGAACAGAAGATCACTTGGCAAATTGTTTTCACGCAGGTTTAGGACGTTCAAATTGTAGTCATAGTAGTGATGCTGGCGCCTCTTGCTTTGTTGAAGGTAAGCTGTAGAGATCATGATAGAATATGGACATCCTGATTGTCATCATTTTTTTATCGTGGTAGGATAGGCCCATGCTTCTTGATTTGATACTTTCCATACCTTTCTGGTGCTAATGGAGACGAAAACTTCATATTCATAAAACTGTCAGATTGATTTATGTTTTATCTTTTATAAAGGCATTGTGAGATCTTGTTTAATTTCTTCTCCAAATTTGTCAAGATTTCGAACTGTGGTCAAAGTGCCCTCTAGAGATCATTCCTTACACGCGTTTATCAATTTTCAACAAGTGATTACAATATACCATTCTATGAAATAGCTTGTTTGGAATTGCGTTGATAATCGCTAAATGTTTATAATAATTCTCCTTGATGGTGTCAATATCAATTTAACCCGCCCAGTTTCATTTGCTATACATTCCAGTTCGACTTGTAGATGGATCTGATGGAAATGAAGGAAGAGTTGAGATACTACACAAAGGGTCTTGGGGAACTGTATGCGACGATTTGTGGGACTTGGACGATGCTAAAGTTGTGTGTCGACAGTTAGGATTTGATGGGGCCTTAGCTGCTCTACCCCAAGCAAGATTTGGTCAAGGTTCTGATGATATCTTTCTGGATGGTGTTAAGTGCAATGGAACAGAAACCAACCTCAAAGACTGCAAGCATAAGGGGATAGGTGTTCATAATTGTGTACACAAGGAAGATGCCAGTGTCATATGTAGAAACGGAGGTAATAACGTAAATCCGTCGTAAAAAAAAAAAATGTACCCAAAACACCTGGATACAAATTGTCCGCAAAAAAGCGGACTATATTATACATTTTTAATTACGGTAATCAAACATACGGGCAACATCGTTATGCATTCGGAACACAACTTCCCTGAAATACAGCTTGTATTTTTCGTAGATCTCTCGATATAAGGACAAAATCGGGAGCAAGGAATTTTATGGAAGCTCCTGTTGTTTGACTGAGTAAAAAAAGACAATTAAACATTGAAAATTATAACCAACGAATTTCAAATAAAATAAATTAAGAACTGCCACAGGATTCGTGGCAAGATTTAGATTCCCTTCTTATTAATCCAGTTTCATGCAATGTTTTAGATTTAAAAAAGAGGCCTGTTTTCATTCATTATTTTTCTATATGCGATCTCTCCAGTTGTTCATTTCCATGAATATTTATCGGTACAAAAAACGTATTTATTGTTTCAAAATACCTTTTTAGGTTTGAAGAAATACTCGGACTTGATCACCACTGATGAAATACCTTCTACATATACAACCACGCTTTTGCAAATTGGACACGAAACTACAAAAGTTCCACCAAGAAAGCAAGGACAAAACAGCACACCGCGACATCCGCTTAACACGAGTAAAATTGACAATTTAAAATCAAGTGCAGTCCCAATTCTACTAATTGATTTCAAAATGATAATTTTGATTGGACTTTGTATTTTATTATTGAGCTGCATTCTGATCGCATCACTTGGGTACTGTATTCATAGGTTTAAAAAGAGAATGGCTGCTAGGAATTTAGATACTGAAATATATATGGACGTAACGAATATGTCATCAATGCACGCTCTGTCACATGTTACTGGTTACCAAGCATTAAACATTGCCCCTAAATTACCTGAAAGGCGGAAAAGTGATGTTTTTGGTCATCATTATGAATCAAATATAGAAAAAATAAAAGATAATCATGAAGGTGATTTAGAAGAGGACCACGAGTATGCGGACATGAAAACTGTTTACCAAACACCTCAAACTGATAAGGACCTGGACATAGACGGTTATCTCCTTCCGAACACAGAAATACCTTTAAACGATAGAAAGTCGGTGTCAGATAAGAGAAAACCTTCTGATGAAAAAGCAGGAACGGGGTCATTATCTCAAGGCATGAAGGAAAATATGAAAAACGATTATATGGAAATGAAAACGGTTTACCAAAAGCCGAAAACGGGGACGGACATAGATCTTGATGGATATGTCCTTCCAAACGCAATGCCTTCGTTGAAAGATGATGATACAGTAACATATGAACTAACTCGTGAACATAAGGAAAAGGAATCGAACTTCGAAATCGCTTGTACTGGAGGTGAAGGAAAGGTCCCCTTACCGGAAGACACGTCACAAAAAGAGATACACAAGTACATGGATATGAAAACTGTTTACCATACACCTCAAACTGATAAGGACTTGGACATAGACGGATATCTCCTTCCGAACACAGAAATACCTTCAAACGATGGAAAATCGGTATCAGATAAGAAAACCGGTGGTTGCAAAATCGACATGCCAAAACCTTCTGATGAAAAAGCAGGAACGGGGTCTTCATTTCATAGCATAAAGGAAAATATGAAAAACGATTATATGGAAATGAAAACGGTTTACCAAAAGCCGAAAACGGGGACGGATATAGCTCTTGATGGATGCGTCCTTCAAAACACAATGCCTTCATTGAACGATGGTGATACAGTAACATATGAACTTACTCGTGAAAATCATGACAAGGAATCGAACATGGAAATCGCTTGTACCAGAGGTGAAGGGAAGGTCCCTTTACCGCAAGACACGTCACAAAAAAAGATACAAGAGTACATGGATATCGAAACTGTTTACCAAGGTCCTGCAACAGGAACCAACACAGATCTCGATGTGTATCTTCTTCCAAGTGCTATGCTAGAGACTGGATCTATCCGGAACAATATAACAGCAGCATCAAATGGACAATCTGATAAAAACAGGGACAATTAATTTTGAAAATGTATTTTAAGGGTACCACATGAGGAAAGAATCTCGGCAAGCCAAGAAAAAGAAAGATCGCAAAGTATTGGCACTAGAAAAGAAGAAGGGAGAGTGTTGTACTAGCAACTATCGGAAGCGAATTCGAAGGGAGGTGCCGAGGTGGTATAGGTGTCGTGCAGGATGGATAGACAACATCATGAATTGGGAGGGTTCTTTGTAATTTAGCACATGCAATTTGTATATAACAAGCATCACATAAAACAATTTACGACTGAACAAGACCGAGTGCAGATACTCCAAATCCGAAACATGCAACAAAGAAATGTCCGATTGGTTTGATTGGCTCCCAGAATGATTCTGCAAAAGAAAAAGCCACCTAATAGGTTTGTCGAATATATTTGTTGGTGCGTTATGTGTGTTGTTTATATCACTTAAACTGGTCAATCCTGAAGCACACACAGTATCAAATTGTTGCCTCATGTACTCTCAATGTATAAATTATATTTTTCTGACAGGAAATGTCTGCAAAAACAAAGGAACGAAATGACACGGAAACTGTTGAAAGTT